CCGATGGGGAGCGCCCTTCTCAAGCTCCGCGGGCTTCTTGATTTTAAGCCCCGCGCGGTGGGTCTTCTTGCTCTTATTTTGAAGGCGCTGGCTGCATCCATATGAGAAAGAGAAACAGCCCAAGGCGCTGGGCTTTCGGGTTCGCGATCGCGCCGTGCCCGTTTTTTCGGGGGTCCACGCTGCTCTCCATCTTTCTGGGGCGGTGGCGTGTTTGCTTTGTCTTTGTGGGGCCATGCTGTAGCTTTGGGGCTTGCTCATACGGTGCCCCGGAGGTCCAGCCGTGTGGTGTTAGAGAGGGGCGCGGCCATGCGGTGCTTGGTTGGGGGGTCTGGTTGTGTCTTTTTCGGGGGTGTGCTCGTGCTGCTCCGGGAGGATTGGCTTTGGCCAAGCTGCGCCCCAGGGGCCATGTTACGTTGGGAGGCTAAGCCGTGGCAATTTTGGAAGGCCGTGGCGCGTTTAGAGGTCGGGGCGTCGGTCAGTGTTTGGAGTTCGTCACGTCGCCCTTTCTTTGCGGTCATGTCGATGCTGCAGGCAGGTCATGCCGTGGCGCTTTTTGGGGAGTCGATGGCGATGCGTTGGAGGGTCGTCGTTGTGGTCTGTTTCTCGTGGGTCACTTTGTGCTTGGCGTCTTGCTTGGGTGGTGCTCGGGGGGCGTTAGGTGCTGCCTGTGGGTGCAGCGGGGGGCCACTTCGTTCCCAGGGGGGCAGGCACGCAATGTCTCGGAAGTAGGCATGCGCATGCTGCAGCTATGGCAGCGGGGCGGGCGGTGTTTTGCAGTGAGTTAAGAAGGCCGCGCGGCGTCAGGGTGCCTGCGCGTGGTGTGTTTCAAGGGCCACGGTCTTCCATATGGGTGTGGGATCGTGGTGCCTTGGGGGCTGCGCGCTGCTCTTTGTTTGGGAGGGGGTCACGTTGTGTCTTTAAAATGGGGGCCAAGCTTTTTCTTCTCCTTTTGTGGCTTGGCTTCCTTTTTTCAGTGGTGTCCGTCGCCGCGTGCTGCGTCCATTTGGTCGCAATGAGATGAGGGGGGTCATGGTGAGCCTTGGTAGGCTTGGCGCTGTGCTTCTGGGGTCCGTCGTGCTGCGTTTTGGTGCGAGGCCAGGCGGCTGCGCTTTGGATGGTGCGTGGTCATGCGGGGCCTTATGATGTAGGGGTAAGCGGTCTCCATAAGTTACACCGCCGGGGGGTCATGGTGGTCCTTTGGGGTCGTGGGGTGTCTTAGTCGTCCTCGTCGCCGCGGTGTGTTCAGGGTGGTAGTGCTGTGCCCTTCGGGGTCTTGCTGTGTTTTGGGGTCCGTGCTGTTTTGGGGGTGCTGTGTTGTTTTGGAAGTTCGTCGCGCTGTCTCTTTGGCGGTCGTGCTGGTGTGTCTTGGTTGTCATGCCTCATGTCCGGCCATGTGTCCCTTTGTGGGTCTATGCTGTGCCTGGGGGTCACGCCGTGCCTTTGGGGCCGTGCTCAGTTTTATGGTTTGCCATGCAGTGCCTTTGGGGGTTTGGGGTCAGGGGGTGCCGCAAGGGGGTCGCGGTGCCTCTTGCGGTTTTGCTCTTTTTTTTAGGGGGCGGGTCATGTCATAGCCCAGGGGCTGCGTGTTGTCTGCGGGGTTGCTTCCTTTGTCTTTTGGGGGCTGGCGGTCTGTAGTAATTTGCGCGGGGGGTCATGCTGTGCCCCTATGCTCGTGCTCGTATTGTCTCCTGGGTTGCCTGGAGGGTCGCGCTGTGTCTTCTTGGTGGTCGTGGTGTGTTAATAAGTTTGGGGGGCCGTGGTGTCTTTGGTGCTTCGTGTGTTGCTTGGGGGACGCGCTGCGACTGCGTGGCCACGTTGTAGCTTGGGGCCGTGCGGTGCTTAAGGGGTCGCGCTGTGTTTGGGAGGTCGCGCTGTGTTTGGGGAGGTCGGTCGTGCTGCGTTTGGGGAGGTCGTGGGGCACTTTGGGGGCCGAGGCGGGATCGATGGGCAGCCCCCGCTCGTTGAGCCAAAGAACAAACCCGAGGGCAGTCAGCTAGCCCTAGGCGAGAACGCGGGCAGCTCAAACCGGAGAGGCTTGAGCGGCCAAAGCTGGCCCCGGCCAAACTGCCTGGGCAAGCTGAGCGGGACCAGCGAACAAGACGAGCAGGGCGCGCGGGCTTGGGAGGGCTCACCGACGTCGGGCGCACCTTACGGCATTGGCAACACCTCCGGCCCGCCCCCGCGCACGCATGAATGTCCGCCGGGCCTGTCTCATTGGCGTGGCGTGCCTAATTGATTCCGCGCGCCAGGGTTCTGGGTTCCGTGGGTTGCTTCGGTCTTTGTTCTTCTCCATCATCTCGACGGCAGCCGCCAAGGCCAAGGGGCGGGCGCTCCGTGCCTCAGTCGCTTTTTTTTTTGCTTTCTCTTATGTTTCTACTCTGTGCCTGTGACGGTGCTGTTATCAAGGAGGGGTCGCCCAAGGGGCGACCCCGGTTTCTTGTGAGTATAATAATGAGACTTCTACTGCATAATTATCTTTATCTGTTGACCCGATGCGCTTTGGGAAAACGAAAAATACATCTCACATCAGGACAGAAATGCGACAATGAAAAACCCAAGCCCTGTTGACCTCCAGGTTGGATGAAGACGGAAGCGGTACCTTGAGTCTCGATGAGATCCAACAAGCAGTAGCACATCCCGAATTGCGTGCCCGACTAGAAAGTCTCAACTTTCCGGTGGATAGTCCTGAAGATTTTTTCAATATGGTTGACACGGACAACTCCGGTGACATCGACTCTGACGAATTCATCACCGCTTGCACGAGACTTAGAGGCACTTGTTTCATTTCGCTTGTGGTTATTGACTGTGCGCGTTTTTTCATGGTAATATTCTCGACAAAATAATTGGGATTAATTGATGCAGTTGAAATGTTGTTTTGGATTAGGGTGCATTTGCAAGTACACACTCTTACTTCTTAAGCTTCCTCCCAACAGGTAGCTGTAAAAGTCGAGATATGCTGGAGGCGGAACAACAAGTCGGGAAACTGGGTCGCTATCTGTTGGGTGTCGAAGATCGAATATTAGAAGCGGGCGAGAGAATAAAAAAGCTGGACAAAATCTGTAATGGTGTAGTGGCGCAGGCAGATATGTTGATGGCAGAGATCCAGAAAAAACACCGGTCCGGAGATATGCTCGAAAAGCCATCGATCTTCGACCAAAACTCTGCATCCCTCGCCGCAGCAATGAAGCCACGGGACCTTCCACGTTCAGAACTGAAGCTATGTTGATCTGAACAATCTAGATTCTACTCGCCTCACCGTGTTAAAAAGTTAGATGTGATACATTGTCCTTGTTTACTCTCATATTCGAGATCGACCTTCTGAACAGGTAGCTGTAACTTCCAGGTTTAGCTGAACGTGAACAGCAACAGTACGACTATATGGTTATTCTGTGAGTGTGATCTTCGAATTCGATCAAAGATTTTGATTTTTTCTAATATTGGGTGCTTTTGTGACACCAGGAGAGGCCGCCGCGCGAGCTGCACCTGGAACTGCGGCATTTCAGCAGCAACAGCAAAAGCGTCAGCAACTTTTGAATATGTCTTCATTTCATAACCTTGACGAAGCCGAATAGTCATGATGGACAACCGCAACAGGCACCAGGTTCTTGATTACGACGACGATGGAAAGGTTGCAAAGGTGTCAAATCATGTGCAACATGACAGAGATGAAGTTGTTCAACACATTTGTTACTCAACATAGCCATGAAAGAGAAAGAGCTTTATTCACAATAATAACATGAGCCCCATGCCCATCGTCCCTATCCCATATAATTACTCATATAATTGTTGTCGAAGAAGATATATGGATTGATATACAGCCAACATACTGTTGTCGAAGAAGGTATACATATAGCCACGGCATCACGCGCACATCCTTTCTTTGATGCATGCAAGAAATTATTGAGCACGAGCATGACGCCTTCTACAAGTACAGAACCAGCTGCACAGAAATGACAAGGTGGACGTTTATCTTGAGCTTCATGTTGCAGAGTTTTATGGGGACTGCCTTTGCGATCTAAGGTTGTACACTTGTCGTACGAACTGCGCCATTCAGACTCATAGATATGTTGGATGGTTGATGATCGTGATGTCATAGGCACATTTTGATTTCTCCATTCCAACCATTCTTACTCCTGTCCTACTCGCTCAGTACCTAGACATCAAAGAAAGTTTCAGCAAAAACCAGTTTATTGCATAATGTGCATAGCCACGAGAACTTCTCCATGATGCAGCGCGGGACAAGTAGCAAGAACTTACATTGTTTAAATTTTGTGTCAGTGTCAGCTTGTTCGGTGTTATCCCCATCCCCGTACCCTGCGCCCCTGTGCTGTTTTAATGTACAGCTCGACGTCCCCTCCTACATGACCCTTTCCCGCCGATTTCCCTGGTCTACCATTTCCTCTTATTCGGTTTCGCCTTAATAAGACGCCAGAGGCGCCGATGAAACGCCAAGTCTATACATCCTGATCCTGATTGCTTAGCATGCTCCCTCCCCGTTCCCTGATACATAAGTGCTTATAATATTTCCATTATGTTGACGGTGAACAACCTGAACGTGAAACCTGAACTGGAAATCAGCTTGACGAGCTTCCTATCTCCTTATCACACACTGCGTGAGACAGCTGGTCTTTCGCCTGCGCACAAATATAAGTAGGAAATCTCTTGCGTGTTCTTGACGATGTCAAAGGCTTGCATATGAGAGAAACGAGTAAGCAGAGTGATCTGTGCGCGTTGCCGTTGCAGTCAGAACGTCCGCATCGGTCTTTCAATATCGGTGTTTGAGAACAAGTGGCCCGAGCACCGATGATGGTGCTTTCTATAATGTTCGGTTTCGTCTTTTAGACGCATTGCCAACGTCGGGTACTGAAGCATCAACATCGGTCTATCTAATATCTCCCCATTGCGATTACCACATTTCCTTGTAAGCCCGCCTATAATCATCACTTCACTTCATCCCAAAAAGTTGTGCCTCAACTGGTCTTTGCTTAGGTAAATATTTTGTTTCCATATTCAAAATTGTCATTGGTATTGGACATCACCGAATTCCACGCATGGCTAAATGAACCAAATCACACATTTTACTACCGAATTCACTCAGTAAAGATTGTGATATCAGACACCACTGACGAGGAACACTACTAGTCTAGTATCCGACCCTTAGGCACACAGTGGCATCAGCAGCAGAAAAAATGCCGCGTCTTCGTGATGGCTTCGAGTATCCAATGCCAAAAACACTCCATGAGGGTGTCAGGGGAGGACTTTCAGTTATGGCCGGTCCCTCACGCGACCAAGTCATAAAAACGACACCAATGATGACGCCAGGACCTACTAGGTAGTTTTTGTTTTTTCTTCTTGTTGCACCTAGATGTCTTTGCGTCTGCTTTTCCTCTAGACGTAGTACCAGCACCTGCATCTGTAAGTAACTCCAACACACGTCTTGAATGAATATTTTTGATGCCATTAATCATGATATCTGATGATACTGATAAATTGTGATCCAGCGTAATTTCCATTTTTGATTTTGTGATTGATTGATCTTGATGTTGATACCTCAGACGATGAGTTGATTTGTGACCCACTCCTAGGTATAACGTGAATCATGGAGCAGTGCATGGCCAAATAAAGTGTACGACGCAGTGGAGTAAGGAGGCCCCCAGGTTCAAGGATGGAACAGGTACAGTTTCCGATTGTCGATTGATGCCTTTTCAATGAGGTAGAATTACTATGATGTTGGTACTGTAACAAGAAAAGTTTGATAGTCTAGAGATTATTCTTCATGACTATGTGTATGTTTTTCAGCATGGGTATCAAGATCAATCATCAACATCATTCTTTGCCAGGTCCAATCCAGAAAAGCGATTCACGAAGTTATACGCCATTGCAGCCATCAACAGCGCCCAAGTGGAGTGTCCCAAAGGGAAAAGGGCACACGGTAAAAAAAGTACATGGAGCTGCTAATGCTACAGCTTGAGGTCGTTCTCGCAAGATGTTTTTTAACACTGCATGACCTTCACCTTCTGTTTAGTCCCAGAGTGAGACCCAACTATGATGTTTCCCTTTCACTTTCTGTTTCTTGATCTTGATCAACATAATCTAATAAAAGGGCTCTGGATATTATTGTTTAGTCTCCTAGATAGTTTGAGTTTGCGTAAGACTATGTGAGACTTATGCCATGCCATAAAAGGGCTCTAGCTCTAGGTCTAGCTTACATCGACTTGAAAAATAACTTTCACTCTTGTAGATTCCTCGGATCCAGACCTGTGGTGCCGACGCATTCTATAACGTGAAGATTAAGGGTTGCCGAATTACATCCCGCATTTACCATCCTCGGCTCTTTTCCTAGTGGAAAAGACGCCAGCAGGGGTGTTCTGAGGAATTATATAATTCCGTTAACCTCTAAGAAGAAAGACTACGTTGATTGCGCTTTCATAGGAAGCGATGGCAACGGTGCACTGGTGCAAGGCGGGGTGCAGATGTTGGGAACAGGAGTAGTAAAAATTGCGGACCTCAAGAAGAGGGTCAAGTCAGAAGCTCGCGTGAAGAACTATCCTGCGAAGCCTGGCCCAGGAACGTACTTATCATGTTCATCATTCATTGTTCTTGTTTGAGTATGTTTTTGGGATAGAACTAGAATCACATAAATATCACTGGTGTCTTTATTTCCATTTCTTTCAACATTATACTGTTCTTCCGCGACAAAACTTTGAAGAAAAATGACATTTTATGCCTGAAAAAGGAGCGGCGCTTGCCTATGAAGTGAGGCAAAAAGTGGAGGAAGTAGTGGAAGGGGGAAAAAGCGCTTCGCTGTATTGCGAGACTTTCTTCTATTCAGTCCTGGTCGGTCTTGAAGTTTTGAGGAGTAGGAAGTAATAAATTCGGGTGGCGAAGAAGATTTTCATTATAGTCGGGAACTCTCACCTCTCCGGGGCGAGCCAAATGAATCCTATCCTATCCCAAGGAGGAGGAGATAGTTGTGGATGAGATGTTTTTTCGGAACGGGAGAGATAGCGGAGTATGAGGAGAGCAAAAATAGTCAACACGATTCTCGATCATGTTCCGCTACAACTGCAACGAAATCGAACATCATCGTTGTGAAGTCTTTCCATCCCTTTCTCTTAATTTAAAACCTAAACTAAAACTTCGACAACAGATATGAAGACCAGAAGGATGCGGTACTGGATAGGGTTCCCAAATGGACGCAAACCAAGAGCAATCTAGACAAGGTTCGCTTCCCAGGCAGCTTTGTGCAGGCGAAAAAGTGGATGCCACCACCCGGTATCTACGAGGCCGACGATGTAGTGAAGAAGGGTAAGAACTGCAACGGTGCGCGTCTCGAACAGCAGCTAGGACATGCTTCTAGTTTCAGGACGGGGGCCGATTAAGTAGTTAATACTCGAACAAGGAGTGTCATCAGTGTGGTACAAATGCTTATGTCTGTGAGCATTTTTCCCAATACGAAGAGTGTTGCTTTTGGTAGGAGGTGCTAGATGAAGTACCTGCCGCTAACTACAAGAACTTGTTGGGCTTTTGTTCATGTTCGAATACTTGTCAAATAATCAATTGGTGAGAATGAGTATGAGATCATTTTTGGTCGATTAGTTCATTGATCATAACGATAAGACCATATTTGATTGGCTACTCGTATTACTTATTTCAGGAGCTGCACCATTGACGATAGCGTCATTGTGTGTTTCGATTTTTTTTGGCAGAAAAAAATTAGAAATGTGTATACTAATAAATGAACATTTTCAAGAACAACATATAACGACGGAAAAATATCATGCGACGAAATCATGCGGAATGCACGAGATAAAATCCGATTTTATACTATGTATGGCGGAGCTAAGTCCTCATTCCTTGCACAATATAGTCCATAATCTGTCATATTAACAATTGTAGTAGTAGAACAGTCATGTGAAAACTTAAACAAAATGATAAGAGACGAAATTTGCAAAAGATGAAAATATTCCGTTCCTCTAGAACTAGCTTGCAGTTTTTCTAGTTTTTGGTCGAGCACGAATGAACAGGTGATGTCACAATCAATTATTCAATGTTGTTAACGACGAGACTTTGAAGAAAGGATGAGGATTATTCGTTAAGAAATAACAAAGATGTTGCCAGTGTGCTCAGTCAGTGGGAGTGAATTGTAGGATTCTTTTATGAGGTTTAAAATCGATTTGTCTGAGTCTGACTCTAACCCTGTCTGAATCCAGATTCAATCATAGCATTTAGAATCATTATGCATCAATTATGACTTAGTGAGAGACGATCGACGTAAAGAGTGTAGTCTAGCATAGAGAGCGCGCGATCATACTTGGGAGAGATTGCTGCTTCTAGTGGTCCATTGATTGCGTTGTTCTTCATCTGTTCAATGAGATGAGTGACTTAGTGGGCATTACTAGTGTGGGAGCAAAAAGATGTAGGTCTGTCCTGAGAGTCTAAGGTACTTCTGTTGCTGCATTTTCTTCGAAATGTGAGCTTTCTGACGCAAAAGATGAAATTACATTGAGTCTAAAGATTGAAAAGCCTTTCATCAATGATCTGCTTACCAGGTCCCTCCTGCCTCTACCCAATACGATATAACCCACACACGCCTAGTTCCAACAATTTCCTTCCCCGATACACCCATTCTTAATTCCCAGTCTTTTCTCCAATTTATCCTCAAATTCGTTGTTCATTCTCGTATACTAAAAATCAGTATAATTTGAGTTTTTATGTACAGAGCATATTCAACATCATGATAAGTCGACGTGGCTGCGCTCTCCCAACATCATAGAATTAGAAAGTTGTTTCCAAGTAAAAGTATTCACTTTGTTTAGCCTCGCTTTTCCTTTTGCAGTTACCGTTTATTGTACAACAGCAGTTGAATGTTTTAGTCGACGTCCTTGTCGCATAGAAAGAATCAAAATGCATCCTGTGTTGATCGTGTTCTTGATCCTGCTGCTCATCTGGGTGGCGGTGATCGCCGTCTTCGCGCTTGAGGACCGGCTGTACCTCAAGCTCCCTGAAAAGTGGTTCGTGCACGACTACAGCGAATTGAAGAAGGGCAGCGTGCTTGTTTTCTACGGACACCTCGTCTTCGCCTTGTTGTATTCGTACTACAAAAATGGCACGCTCTGGCTATATGAGCACGATGTCCTGTTCGAGCAGGCGACTGAGCTGCGGGAGGACGTGCTGGAAGAGAGGAAACGACAGCGCATTGCGAATCGGCCTCCTGCGAAGCAGCTCAGGCGCATGAACGTCTTTGACGAATATGCGGACGCGGTGTTTATGGCCAAAATGGAAATCTCGTCGGCCGTTTGTTCAGAGCCAACCGATCGAAGCAGTAAACGTCAACTAGTGGGCCTTGCGGCACGAAATGAGGACCGAGAAATCCGCGACGAAGCAGCTTGTATCATACTCTTTGTTAGACTTAGAGTCATGTTGTTTTTTAGATTCGCCATTGCGCAAGAGCAGCAGCTTGTTGTACTACTACACGTTGATGCTTCACAACTTTGATGTTGTCTATCTAAGACATCATCTTCTGCCACTTGTTGTGCCACTCTATTATCATCGAAAGCGAATGAAATAGAGATAAATTTAGATGTACGTTTAGGTTTAAGTTTAACTTTGAATGTTCTTGTACTGCAAGGTGTGATCGTATGCTTCATCGTATGTGCACACTTGATGTTAGTGACCTGTTGGTTTGTGCGCGCTCGCGTGCAACAATAACATAAGTACGTATTTCATTTACTTTTTTAGCAGATCGATGGTGCTTAGTGTTAGTACATAATGACTTAGGGTTAGCGTTAGGGAGTGCATCGGAGTTTGTTTCACGACTTTTACGTAATCAATGATCCACCTCTCCTGAAAATAAAACCCACTGACAGCAACAATCCGGCGTCTAGAGATCTATGCTAACGTCGCCCGTCACGCTGGGTTGAATGCAGGAAAGATTGCAATAGGGGTGCAAGCTTCCAAGGTATCGCAGCATCAACTGATCGAGCGTCAGCGTGCGGTTGTCGCAGCGAACAAGTTGACGATGGAACGGTGGTTACGGAATTTCGACCAGAGTAAAAAATGGCTGTCCGTTGTCCTCCTGCAGGGTATGGAGCGCAACAATGTGGATCACATGCTCGACAAGCGTCCTTACCATTATTTTTTTATCAATCCCAATCTCCCAATTTTCGCGACGCGGCAGGAATACGAAAGGCACGTGTTGAACATGTTGCACGAGAATGAGGACGCGAAGGGCGGAAAACGCGGAGGTGGGGGCGGAGGTGGCACCATCGATGCCACCTTGTCCTCAGGCCAAATGAAAGGCATGTTTTCCCAGAAGGTGTGCACAAGCGTCAAAGTCGAACCAAAAGTCGACTGGGAGCGTGCAGATCCGCCTTGGGGCGAGGCAAAGCCGACGGTGGAGGGCGAAACCAAGCCTCCAGCACCGCCAAACATCGAGGCGGGGGACATCAAGATCACGGGTATGACGCGCAGTCTGCTGCCTCTGTGTCCGCGCAACGTCGTGGAGCTGTTCTCGGACAGCACGAACAAGGGACGGATGGTCGTGTTCTCGAACTTGCCGCTGCCGCCACAAATCTTCTGCGCTTTCGAGGTTAAGATCCAGCAAGTGGACTACAATTCGCAGTTGATCAAGGGCATCAAAAAACGCGTGCGCGAGCATCTTTCTTCTATCTTCGCAGCGGTGAAACTGAAGAGCAAACTGGTCCGCATTCGTCAGAAGCTCGCGGCTAAGAAGGAGGCCGAAGAAGCCGGAGTGGGTGATCTATTGCCGGCTGCGAAAAAAGTGGCTGGACCACAACGACGCCGAAACGCTGGTGCAGAGGGGGCGAATAAGGCGGGCATGGGGGCGTTGGGTGCTTTCGGAGGAAATCACTTTTCAGAACCTCCGGCTTCAGCAGGAAGTGTGCAGCTTGAGGAGATATCAAAGACAAAAATATTCGGGCAAAAGAATAAAACAGCAGCAGTAGAGCATCTACCGTGGGCTACTCCAGGCACCGAGAAGCCAGGAATTACAGGTTGCAACACCGAGATGAACGGCGGAGAGAAAAATGTCCAAACTTCGAACGCGATAAACACTCGTCCTAAAAACGAAAACAAAGTCGATCGTGTTGACCATGCGCTCTCTATTTTTGCTGGAAAGCCTTCGAAGCTGCCTAAACTAAACCTGGATCGGGATCACTTCCGTTGGGCGTCTCATGGAACTAAAAATTCAGCCGCAACGAACTACAACAGCAATTTGACACAAGGTACATTGCTGGCATCCTCCACTAGGAGCATGGAGTCGCAAAATTCAGCTTCGCGTGGACGCTCTTCTAGAAAGCGTTCTCTCATCGCGCCTGCCTCTAATGAAGATAGTGGATCATTCGCATTCCTATCCCCGCCAATCTCGCCGTCGACTCGAGGACGGTCACTGTCGACTGACAGCGAGGCCTCTTCTCTTCCTGAGGAAGTTTCTGACTTGGAGTTCGAGGAGTTACGCCTTGTTGACGACTTAAATTTGCTGGAAAGCCGCACATCAACGGCAGCTAATATGTCATACACAAGCAACACAGATACTGATACCTCTAGCATGAGGATGGCGGGAGGGACAGGTGGATATAGCACGTCGCTGATGAGCCGTTTGGACCGTACTGGAGCAGCTGGCCGCGCTGCGGGTGATGCGGAACGAGACGATGCTTTTCAACAAGACTCGGCACTTCATACTTTGTTTGGTGCATGGGATCGCGACGATAAGTGGGCTGGCTTAAGGCCGGCTTGGAACGCTCGAGAAATTAAAAGTTTACAACAGGAGTCCTACAAAGCTGAAAAAGCCTTGCGCAAGCTCTACGGTGGGGACGCTTGTGTCCTGAGCAAAGATCAAGAGTGGTTGCTCAGACAGGTCCAAGATTTGGTCAAGGAAGCTGCAGTTTACCGATCTGACAATTATTTCGATGATATTATGTCTGATGATGGTGTCGCTGGAGCAGATGAGGGACACCAAATTGGGCAAAAAAATTTACGTGACCATTACAGAGCTGCCGCTGCCAGTGAACATCAAAGCTATTCTTATCCAGTAAATACGATGTCTGCCTCTGCGTTTGCACCCAAACCAAAGCTTGAATATCGACACGTGAACCGATTGGAACCCCTGCTCGAGCAGGTGGAGGAATACTTGCAGGAAGTGAACGCTCCTCGAGTGTCGCGACCAAAACGACCCCAGACTGAGTTATTGCGAAATGAGAAGATCAAGATGAAGAATTCTCCTGCTGTAGTTTCGTCACCGACTTCCACCACAGATAATCTCCCTGTTGTGACAGGAATCAAATATTTGGACATGAAGCTGGCACAGACAGGTAAAGAGGGACGACATGAAAACGCTGATACTACCATTTTGTCTTCCCGAACAGAATCAGAAAGAAATGTAAATGAAGTATCTACGGCATCGACGTCGAAACGAGCAGCGGCCGCACAAAGTAAGGCGAGGAGAAGTTCCCAGCACGATTATGTGGGTGAGAGACCAGAACTCGTTTGCATGCCCGTAAATGCGGGTTCGTCCCCACCTGCATCTGCGAGGACGAGCTCGTCGCGCGCCCCTAACAGGTCTTCCAAATCCGGTAGAAATGGACGCCTGTCGAGACGCGGCAACAAGTCGCTGTTTTCAGACGAGTCACGTACTGTCGGGAGAAGATCTGTATCACCAGCATCGGCGTCGAGAGGTGGCCGAGCTGATTACGGATCGCCAACTACCGCATCAACGGATGAATTAGAGTTGCTAGCGCATCAAGAACTGGCGATAGAGGGTGAGCATCTTGCGCCTGGAGACAGTCGTTGGGGCAAGGTGCGGGGCAAAGCTACAGGGATGGCTATGCTGATGAAGAGCGCACAGAATAAAGACGCACTGGCCCTAAATAAGTTTCAGCGACGTGGCGCACACTTGTTATCGGCAACCAAGGTAAAAAACGCGGATGCCAACGAGGACGAAAAAGAAGCCGCAGCGCGCGTGATGAAGGCAATGAGCATGGGACGGAAAGCGAAGGGTGGTCCGAACAAGGGCTTGGACGCCGTGGCCAAGCTTTTCGGCCTCAAAGCCGGAGAGGAGGTTGATGGGGTCGAGAAACTAGAGGGCGGACAGACGAAAAAGAAACCCGATGTCTGTCCGCACGTCGACTTATGTCCCTTCGTAATCGGCATTGGCTGCAAGCCCATGGACCACCGGACCCCGCCACAAGCAGACACAAGCGGTGTGGGGAAAGTCCTCGAGCCGCGCTTTGTCAACAAGGTGGCGAACTCCCTGCGAGGTTTCAATGAGAACAAGATGCCGGGACACTTCCCGCTGTCTCTTGGCTTTCAATCTGACGGCTTGATCCACGTGCAAGAGGGGATTGGCGACCGCAGCAAAAAGTACTACAAGACGCGCAATGGCCAGCTCCGACAAGGCGACACCCTCACCGTTCTGATTGACCGCAGTAAAGGCCATGTCTTCTTCTTCAAAAACGGCAAAATCGTAGAGATCGAACAGCAGGTGAGTCGCCAGGCTTACGTCGACCTTATGGAACCCGATGTCCGAGATGATCCCTGGGATGCCCGCTATGAAGATTCAGTGCAGGTACTTACAACAACGAGTCCTACCAGTGTTGATAAATAATTTCTTGAGGCTAAGCCAAAGCTTGTTTTTTGTGAATAATACTAATATAAATAAAGTGGATCTTGATCTTGTGAGTTAGATGTCCGATTAAAAGAAATTCGTTGACCCCATGTGCAATGCATGAAAATCACAGCGAGTTGTACCAAACTCTTGTACTTGTGCTATCTTGAGAAACAAAATGGCTTTGAATGACACCAGGGCAAAATGGCTGAGTTAGCACTGCAGACGGAGGAACGGGACTGGAAGGAGCATTTCTGGGACGAAAAGCACGAACAGGAGGCGGAGGAGAAACGCAAAAGGGAGGAGGATAAGCGCAGAAAAGAGATGAAAGCAGTGGCTGACGCGATGCAGGAAATGAAAGACGCAAGGACCGAGAAAACGAGGCGTGCTGTTCTTCTCTCCCAAGAAGACTCCTTCGCGGGAGCCATGGTGCGACGCTACTACGGCAAGCGCACTTTGAAAATGATGGAAGATGATCTGAAGAAGGCCGATGCGGAGAAGGCGGACCGCGAAGAGAATCCCCACAAGTATAACGAACAAGATCGCGAGATGCAAAAGCATGCGGAGCGCATTGTGAATGGCATTGCAGATCCAGAACAAAAGGAAAAAGAGAACGCGTACGCGAAGCAACTACATGCAGCTCGGCCGCAATTGGGCGCCATGACTTTTGGTGGCGGCAAGCTTGACGACGAACCGGCTCCAACACCATCGCCTCCAGGGATGGCGCAACAAGGTTCTATGAGTGCAATGGCAGCCAAAGCCAATGCAGGATCCTTTCACTTTCTTCAGCGCTCTGTCACATCTGAGAAAGTGTCCAATGTGGGGGACAGTGCAAAAAACCTCCTCAGCAACGCGGGCGGAGCAATCAAATCACTGGGTCGTAGGTTTTCGCGCCAAGGATCTGCGCTGGAGGCGGGTATTGAAGAGGACGAGAAGGCGGCTCAAGCGCCCACAAAAGCAGACGATTCTGCTGGAACAACTGAGGCAGCGAAAGAGGGTTCGCATTCCGCTGTGCAAGAAGGGGGCGACGATCAGAGCGGCACATCTTCCGCACCAGAGAGCGGAGACGAATCGAGGGAGGTTCCCAAAGAAGGTCTGCATTTTCTTCCCGAACAAGAGGCCGATCTCGATTGCACAGGTGTGGTCGGCCAGAACAAAGAGTTTACCACTGAAGGCTTCCGACCTGGTGGCACAGGACGTCCAGCGTCTCGCACACCTCGTGCTCAGGCAGCAAAGTCGGTATCTTTTGAAGGTGCAGAAAGCACGACAGGAGGAGCAGAGGGTGTCCCTTCCTCTCCCTTGGCCACTACCGCGGAGGCGCAAGACGACGGGATACTCTTTGTCGGTGTCGAGGATGAATCGGGTGCTCACCGAGGACTAGGGCGACAGAAAACTTCGGGCCGTGGTGGTATGAGCAATCGGACTGCTCCCCAACAGCAAGATGATGAAGATGCCGGCACTGGCGGGATGGCTGGCGAAGTAGCGGAGAATGCGAAGCAGATGCTGAGCTCTCTTCGTCGGACTATGTCCGCCATCGCTTACGTAGACGATGACCGAAACCCGTTAACAGCAAAGAGCATCGCAGCCAAGCACATCAGCCGAATGGGAACGCAGGTCACCAACTTCTTTGCAAACCTAAACGATGACGTCGGTGACGAGGATATTGCGGCTCGATACCGAGAGAAAAACCGGTGGGGTACCTTCTTGGAAGTTTCGGATGAGGAGAGTGAAGCTGACCAGAGACGAAAAAGCAAGAAAGAGAAGAAAAAGAAGGACGGCGACGACGACGGTAGCGATCACTCCGAAGACAGTAGAGATGGTTCGATTGGTAATGTTTTTTCTCGACTGCATCGCCGAGTCAAGAAGTCCGCGCGCCGCCGTGGGCGTGCAGCGGCGGCGAAGGCTTCTCATGTCGGCTTCAAGTTGTGCCCAACGTTCATGGTGCTCCAGTGGAAAGCTCGACGAAAGATTCGCCACATGTGTCGTAAGGTCTATCGGTTCTTGTTCGCGGACTTTTTTGGTACTGCTGCGGCAGACGCCGCTGCCGCTGAGGATGATGAGGACCCGGAAGAAGAGGAAGTCACGTGTGCGTCCACGATGCTGCGCTGCAAGAACGGAACTCGGAAGCAAATCCGCATGCTGCAACTGCGCGCGCAAATTAAGGTGTACGACCGCGACGCCGACCGAGACGAGCTCGCGATGCTCCGGAACCCACTCAAGGAAAAGCGCCGTCGACAGGAGGCAGCAGAAGAAGAGAAAAATCGCCTGAACAGAATGCGGAAGGCTGAGGAAGGGGTCTGGACGGAGGGTGAACTGCTGAGCATGACGAAGGACCAGCTAGAAGAGGCACGAGCAGACCGCGACCTCCGTCTAATGACGGAGATAGAGCGCCGCTGTCACAACGTTGTCGGCCGACAACAGCGCTATCACGTTCGCCTGCCTTCCCTATACCTCCATGACGTGCGCGATCTCGCGCACTACGTCGTCATCGGCGGAGAAGAGGTAAATAATTTACTCAACCTTCACCTAGCATACGAAGTATAGATATTTTAGTTTGATGACGACGCGTGGGGATGGTTATCCATCTGCTGATTCGAACCTGGACGTGTCGGGTCGTTACTCCTCCACTAGGCATAGGTCGTCAATTTAGCTCAATTTTAATGCGAAGGAGGAGGTGTTCGTATTCTTGAAAAGAAGTTCAATGTAAATCATCATTTCGAGAACCACCCGTCATAATATCAGGCTATGCTGCGATTGGATGTGAATTTCGGAACAAAAGAGTTCGATATGCGCGCGAATGTGAATGAGCTCAACCGCAAGTTAGAACTCGCGCGTCGGTCCACGTTTGTGCAAAAAATGTCGAACATGATGTCTCAGAAGGAAACGACGACGGAGTTGGCACAGGCACTGCGGGTGAAGGATGCAAGTATAGAGCGCCGAAAGAAGTTCGAGGAACAAGAAGCAGCAGAACAGGAAAAGATCGCCAAGGCGCTTGAAAAGGAAGACGAGGTGGAGCCGGAAATCAAATTCGGTGGAGGCGGGAGTTCATCTGATGCGGACGACTCTAAGGAAGGAGGGCATGCTGCACAAGCGCTTGGTCCCGACTCGTCTAATGAAGATGGCGAGAGAGACTGCTCGACCCTTGATGAAGATCATGAAAGAACTGATCCAACGTCGTTCAGAAGCGTTGGAAGTGGACCGGTGCAGTTCTTTGAAGCAGAGCATAAGGAGGAAGAAAAGGGTCCGCCAGGCACGCCCGGTCGCGGTGCCTCATCAAGCACGACCAGCAATGTTGACGGATCAGGAACAAGCGCTGCTGACGATGAGGAGCACAAGATTGCCGACGAACTTGACCATTTGAAAGGCGCGAGCAAACAGAAGGAGGACGCGGTGGCGTCAGCCAAGGCACGTGCCCAGCTCTCCACGAAGAAGAAGGGTCCGAGTTTGCTGAATCGCATGGGGCTGAAAGTCGTCGGTGCCACACAGCCAGGGGACGCAAAACCGGCTTGGGGGATGCTCGCGAACCTGAAAAAGCAAGGTTCGCAGCTGGTGCTTGGTGAAAGCCAAGAGGAGCCAGAACAAGTACAGGGGAAGATAGATGCAGTGTCGATGCTGTTGCAGTCGAAGAATCGCATCAGAGCGGGTGGCGCGCAAGACAAAGACGTCTCCAAATTGAAGGCAGAGACGCTGCTGCCATACCATATCGAGCAAGAGTGCAAATTCATTGTGCAAGAAGCGAAGAAGCTCGCAGACTTCTACTCCACAGACAGGACGAGCCAACGGGAAAAGGCGCGTCGAAACAAGAAGGAGGAAGCTGATTTGGAGCGGAAGTTGCAGCTGGCTGAGGAGTGCGTCGAAATGTTTGATCTTACGCGCACTGGGGAAACTCAAATCTTTCTAAAGCGGGCTTCGCTTGCTCGAGATACGACATTGACCGGTCAGACACTCATGCCCTTTGGCCGCGACACGCTGTTTGGGCCGCAAGGTGTCTTTGCGGCCAAAGCAAAATCAGCTCGAATTTTGGATGCATTAGAAATGTTCCACGAAGAGGTGAAGCCAGTTCCCTACGTGAGTATTGAAGAGAAAAATGAAGCCGAGTGGAAGAGTACATTCTTCACCGAGTGTACACTGCGCGAGCGTTTCATGCTGCGCGTCAAGTGGTATTACAAGTGGTACTTCCGGGAACCGATGAGGCGCTTGACCCAAGGGCTGACGGAAGACGAAAGGATTGCGTTAGAGCGAAAGCGATCACTACAGAAGCAGCGCAAGAAAGTGCGAGAGAAAGGCGAGGCCATGGAGGTGCTTGATACGCGAACTCACGTCGGGGACGTGCAGGCCAACTTGGTGGCCAAGTTTTGGTACTACGCAAAAGCCTTGGAGCGCGTACGCATGCCCCGACTATCCGAACGCATTCTCGAAAGCTGGAAAAGTCGAGACGATGAAGACCTGGGAGAATGGGTACAGAAGGCGCGCAAACGGCAATCGGAAATGTTCATCCAGACTCACAAGCTTGATGCCCTCATCGTGGAACAAGCCGCGAAGCAGACCGGTGCACAAGAGTCCATGCTGGTTTTAGAGGCATTGTATGAAGAAGCGAAACAACGGAAAGAATCGTTTTCCATCGGGTACTTTATGCGCCTGTGTTGCATGGGAAACTATTTTGAATCCATGAGTGGCTACACGAGCGAGGCGCGGATGATGCGTGAGCACGTGCTTCGTCACTACTCTTACTGTACGCCCTTTTTGCTGCATGCGCTTGTTTCGCGTGAAGATCGGGTGGCGTTGGACCGGTGGATCCACGGGAAGACCTTTTGTACATGGCTCTTTGGACGGTTGCTTCCGTGGGCGTCGTTTGGAATGGGTATGTCGATGAATCAAGCCTTTCTAGACTCGATGTTGGGACTATCCCAAAAGGACAAGGAAGAGCGTCGTATTCGCAGCTGGCTCCGGCAAGCGCGTGCGGATGCGCTGCAGGACGACGACCCCTTCGTCGAGTTCGACTCGCGAAACGGCAGCTTTCACATCGCCCGGCGACAGAACGCGCGCTTTCTCACCGCCGACATGCAGAAGAACGTCGTGGAGAAAGCGCAAGACTGGATTGCGAACGCAGGCAAAGCCCACGGTCTGCGCCGTTCGCAGGACGAGATCACGGCAGCTGCCAAGCACCGCGAAGACCCACTGTTGCGCAGGTACGATACCATGATGGCTATGCAGACCGAAGAGGATAGCGCACTGATTTCCTGGGAAGTGGTGAAAGAAGCGCAACCAGCGATTCGGCGACAAGAGGACTTCATGAAATGCCGACTCGGTTTGTGCAGTTGCGTCTGCTACGTTCCGCAGCGATTAGGTAACCCGATCAAAGTAGACCAAGGTCGAAAGACCGCAGTCGATGTTCTGGAAGTGTGCGCAACTTGCGGGCACTTGGCCTGCTACCACACCTGGGAACCGGGGAGACGCCTGTACCATCCAGCGCTGCCGTTGCCGTCGCCATTCGATGTTCTGGACGTGCGCGTGCAACCGGACTCCTTGAAAGCACGCACGCTGAGGCGTCCGAGCTTGTGGCGCAAAGCGCTGGATGCCACGGGGCACAGGATGTATTACAACGTCAAGACGCAGGAGTCGCAGTACAATCGCCCAAGTACAGGGCAGATGGGTCGCGCCGCAGACTGGTTCGGATTCGGAACGCGGCCTGATAGCACAGAGCGATGTCCGTCGGTTGGCGGATGCGCACGCCGTCGACCCAGCGGAGCGGTTAAGCTAGCAGTCCAGAAGCGTTACGAGGACATCAAGAGGGCAGAAACACAACGACAAGTCGAAATCGCAGAGCAGAAACGCTTAGCCGAACTGCAGAAACAAAAGAGAGCAATGGAGAGGCGTAACTCTAAGCGTAGAAAGTCGGTCGTGTCGGCTAAGTCAATGCAGGTTGACGATGAAGGTGACGATGCCTGATCCTAGTGACACTATCAAATGTGAAGCTGAAGATCAATCCGATGACAGAACGTACAAGAAAAAATCACGGATGATTCACATCAATATGTCTCTATGTCGCACAACATCAGTCACAGTCGGATGGCGTGCGAGCATTTTACTGCCATTGGAAGCTCCTCACAGGAGCACTGTTTACTCTTGCTTCTACAATAATTATCAGTTGTTCACGGACGAGATACAGGTGTGTAGCGAGATACAGATAGTACGCGATCCAAGTACCCGTGCCCTCGGAGTATCATCTGGTTCTTGATCATCATGGTGTGCTCCAGCACTCTGCATATTCGTGAAGCCTCCATCGCATCACTGCCGTGATCGAAGATGGCAAAACCACATCACTGGAGAGCAACTTCGCCCATATAAGAGATACACTGACTTCTTCGTTGTACATGTGTGATTGTCATTACTTGAAATGCACCTCCTGAAATTGTCATGGACGAGGTGTGAGAGCTTTGGCAAGCGCAACCTTCGATCACGACTGGCATGATTGTGGCAGTCCTTATCTTAGCTCGTGTTCATCTTCTACAACTGCTCGAGACACATCACTTGTAGTTTGAAACGTTGTTTTCTTGATCCGAATGTCGATCAATTGTTGTTTGTGCGGGAAAGGCACTCTACGAGGTATTTTCGAGAAGGACTCCAAAATGATGAAAATAAATGTGAGACGCTTCTTTCCCGTTACAGTTTTAGTGATGCCTCTTCCAGGCTTCCATGTCATACTGTATCGAAACTGAAGATCTGAGTCTGAGGTGTAGTGTCGGAATGCGCGCTCTGGAATCAAATTGCACCATTCTTCTCTGTATACAAGAACGTGTAGTAGATCGGAACTTCGAAATCTACTACCGTACTGGCAATATACGAGGAGTTTCATGATGAAAGTAAACGAATTCCAACAGATTCTACGAATTCCAATTTCATCAACGATCGTTGTCCACACAGCACGCTGTTGCAGGTCTAAAGCGTGATCATGTTCGAAAATCGTCTCGGCGGAGGTCAGACGATTGTTGATCCTAATCTACTGATCGAAAAAATCCAAAAGTTTGATGATAAATACGAAATGGAAATTGAAATTCTTCGTGCACGAAGATCCTGATGTAGTGCGGTAACCTCTAGCTGCCTGAATGTTCTCTTTATTGATATAATTTCCATGTAGTGAATCTACCCACTGAGAATCTTCGTATCGTCAATCCACCCATTGAGATAATCTTCATTCTTGCCTCTCCAACCCACAAACACCGCATGGTAACGAACTGTGACTCTCCTGCTCTCTCTTATATCTCAATCTGTTTCATCACGTTCACCATTCACTAATATCATCGTTATTTGAAAAATAATGGCCTGAACTCGCTACAGGGACCAAGTGACAGGATGGGTCACAAATCCAATCCGTACAAGAAAGCGCGCTCTGCGTTCCGCTGGAAGGTACTTACGTTCTCAATATCGCATTTATCTTGACTTTAGTTTGTTGTCAGATATTCATTCCCATCAATGTGGGTAAGGAAGTGAAGTACCAGAGAAGAGTAGGTAAATTTCCAGACTAATCGATCGCTGATGATTTTTTCCTCGGCTTCTTGATTCACTTAGTACACTAAAACGTCGCCGTCTCTTGTATATCTCTGTGTCTGAGCAATGTCAGAGCCAGAAGCTCTCTTTCGACCTGATCTTCCACATTTCAACCTAAACTCATATCTTCACAGTGGAAGAAGAAGCGCACGCGTCGTTTGCAGAAGAAGAGGAGGAAGATGAGGCAGCGCAGCAAGTAATCGCGTTGTACGGAGACGGCAGAGCGATGATCATTGCGCATGTCGAAGAAATAGCTGCCTGGTTAGGAAACCTTCGTGTAGATGGGCGACCGGCGACGTTTACCTTGATAGCGATACCTTCTGCGAAAAGATGACGCTTTCGCTTCTCTTTTGCATGGGTACTACAAAATGCCGCAGCTGACGGGTCACAAATATGGTGCTGATGTCGCCACCTATTTGAACCATGACACGTACTACTTCAATTCCCAGGCAGAACGCTTCGTGGTGTATGCTGTGTATGTGTTGTGCGATTCGCCGTGCATCAAACAATCTTCACGTGACGCCATCCTTTAATCAGACGACTCGCTTGTGAGTCCCTCTTGCCATTCTCATTGTATGAGAACACGCGCGTGACTTCTTGGAGGAAATCGCATTATTGTTCATCTTCTCTACTTGGTTGACATCTCGGCCTAGTGGAAGAGTCGGTCTTCGCACAGAATGGCGTCGTGTAGAAGTATCCTAGACGCCGATGTGGTCGGTACCTGGAGACGAGAGGCTTTCGTGGTCGATGTCTGGAGAGAAAACTAAGCGTCTTTCATGGTGTTTCTCTCTCTGTCGGTAAGTGGTAGTGTGCGAGCGATTGTAATCAGAGTTCACTGCTAGGCTTGAATACAGAGTCAGGTATGCATGCTAGTGAGGTGCGGCTGCGCGAAGCAACCCTTTAACCCTGGCCACTCATTGCCTTGAAATGAATCTAACATCTGAGACTTGGATGGCTGTCACCCTTAGAAGCATTCAATTCCTAGGTTATGTGTTGGATGTGCAACTATCTCCTTTCGGAAGCGGCAGCCTATCGGAAATCGGTCGATCGTCAGAACAGGCAAATAACTCCCTAGTACCTGCCGATCGCTCGATTGTCCGAGTGAAGCTGGCTGCTGATGGCCAACGCGCTGTCCGTGCCGTAGAATAACATGCGCAAGGAAAGACTGTGCCTGGAGGCAGACTGCGAAGGAAAAGCAGGCAAATCCGGCAGAACTGGATGTGCACCGGGCTGTAGAACTGACGCTCGAACGTGAAAAGCAATATGAGATCTTGGACCTGTGGCGGGGCGCGATTCGTGAAAAGCTCTAGAATTTGTTTATCAAGTGCAGGGGAGGCGAATGTGAAGGTGGATCACTAATTCCTCGGCTCATCCCGGGCTGGACACATTGGTGATTTTCTGTTGCGGTACACTCTAAGCATGCTTCATAATGTGGAAAGTTTAAGACAGCGCTTCTTACAACACGCTGATGCCGATGTGGGCTATCTGGTATGTCTATGTTGAACTGGATCAAGAAACGAAGTCGAGTTAGATAAAGTGATTTGGATATTTAATATATATAAGAGAATTTTATTAGATGTTTGGAATACCTGACTTTTTTGATTTTTTGTTTGCTAGTTAGGTGTGCTCCGCCGATAATATGTGAAGGCGTTTTCTTCATCGCGAGATCTGTATCGGCATCTGAGTCTGTTGTTGCGTATCAAGGTGTCTGTGTTTCGAAATCACCAATCGGATTCGTGCACTCAACTACAAGTTTCTGTGGTCTTCGGTTTCCATTCCCTCACACGGGATTAAGATCCGTGTGCTTGTCGCATTTCTCGGTATCGCTCTTTGAAAGAAGCTCCCACCCTCACTCGAGGTTCTTTTCGCTCTGAAGTCATGCTTTTTTCGTCCTCGCATTCACCCTCTTACATCAGGCTGTTTCCATATGCATTTCTTGTTCCTGTCGTGGATACTGGCGCCAGGCCTGCTTCATCTAGCATTCTTGAGGTTCGACCAAGTTACTTCCGTTTTTTGTTTGCCACCCAAAATGCCACCGTCGTCTATGGGATCGCTCGGTGGCGCACCCGCGCTCTTGTTACCTTAGCCTTCTCTCAGTCTTGGGAGAAATGTGGCATCGAGTAGTACCATCCGGAGGACTGCGAGGCCGTCCTGAGCCCCCTGGTCGGACACGGTTTCTCCGTTTCCTCTTTCTCAACCTGCCGCTTGCGTGTCTGGGACTCAGCGAACGGACAACAGCTAGCAAAGAAGATGGCGACTTTGATTGGCGTGACCCTGAGCCCGCGTTTTTGCATGAGACTGCGTTGAACAAGTACGGCCCGAAGCCTGTCCAGTTTTACGCAGTCCATGATGCATCTGCTTCGGTGCAATCCGGATACAGTCAGCCTCGCATCCCAGCGGAAGATGCTGAGTATGTGGATGGCGATCGTCCCGATGATCGTCGTAAGAACGGGCAAGTCGTCAATGAGGGCGGCTTTCCAATAAAAAACTCAGTCGCTGAAACGAGGAAGAGTCCACATCATGATCATGTAGCCATCTCTACGAAGATGGGTCGAGTCACGACCCCTCGAGGTGACTCGTCCTCATCAATGGCCACAGTTTTGGCAGACGATGTTGTGCTCACCACCGACAAAGCCGCATCATTAACCGCGGCTCTCACAAACACGGGAGTTTTCGGTGATGGTGATGCCGGAGACGGGATCATTGCCGATAGCACCGTGTCGCACGCGCAGGCCTCAACCTCTGGAACAGCCACGCTCAAACTTCTTACTGCGAACGATCAGGACCAGCGCGGTTCTACGGACATTGACACACTGCGCGCTCAGCATGCGCAGTTACAAGAGGTATAGTGGATTGTGCGTAGATGAAAGCATCACATGACCTCTCGCATACTCTCTGTCTACCTCTTGGCAGCATTCATCATCTGAGGTCGAAGAGTAGGTTGGTGTATCTTTTCTCCTTTAAATTCCTCTTCAGAAGTCATCATCCTCTCCGACTCCTGTTCATATTTTTCTTAGGATGACGTGACGAACGCGCAGAACTTGGCCCGTGTCCGGAAGAGTGCTGCAGAACGGACCGCGCAGGCGCGATTGCTAGACAGTATGACGAAGGTGAGGAACATAGCCGGTCGTGTTCGGGAGAGAGCCACAGCAGTCCTGAATCGTTACGGCGTTGGCCTCAACGCAACCGCAACGGCGTCGACTGGTGGAAGCTTCGACTCCATCTTCGACAACTATTTTGATAACTGGGATCAGGCCAACTCCTACCCTACCTACAAGTGGCCGCAGACGTCGCCGCAAACTGCTGGGACGGTCGTGGTGGCGCAAGTGAGCATATCGATGAACGCGACCTGTAAAGACGTACTGGATGCTGTCAAAACGGCAGTTGCTCGCGATTACGGCACCGTTCTCGCGGATCACGTGATGCGCGGTGCAGGCTGCTCTTATGCGAGTGAAACTGCTGTTATATATGAGTACTTCGAAGTACTGCCATCTGAACGTCGAGTTGTAGAGATAATATATGATAGTAGTTCTGGAAATCCAAGGCATGATCCGCTCTAGTATTGGATTCTGCGAATAATTCATCTGCGATGTTGTGATTCAGTTTCAGAACAGTTGATGTGTTATAGTAGGAATTTGTAAGCACTCTTTTGACATAAAAAGTAGACGAAGATACCTTGTGGTCATCGTCTTGAGTCGTACTTTCAATATCTTCTTCAACGCGTATGTGATTTTGATGCTCCAATCTTCGGCAGCAGGGGCGACCGAGATCGAGCGCAGCGCGAAAGTAGGTATGCAACTCAGTAGCGGACAAGACGCCAACACTGTGGCAAAAAATCCCAGCTTCGTTCAGGCAATGAAGCAGAGTTTCGCAAGCACGATGGGAGTTGCTCTATCTAAGGTCTCAAATGTGCTGATAACCGTGGTGACGAGCAGTGCAGCTACTCTTTTTCTCGAGGGAAACTTGGTTCAAACTAGTGACGGAAAATCCGAGAGGACCACCACCACCACGGTCCAATTTCTTGTGAAAGCCACTGTTTCGGTCGACACAGCCGCTGAAGCGGCGGCGGCTATTGCTGCGTGGCCTGTAGAAAGCACTCCTGCTACTCTCGCAAGCCATGTAACTGCACAAGTCACTGCCTCCAGCGCTCTCACAGCCGTTGTCATTAGTGTCACTTCTGCTGTGTCCGTGCCTGCTCAGTCTATAGGTGTAATAGAAGAACCTCTTTCCGGAACTGCTCTTCCAGCACCTGCTACCACAACCACGACGACAACGTCGTCGACGACATTCGATCCTGCTGCCACGACAGTAGCACCTGTTGCCATGACAGTAGCACCTGCTGCCACGACAGTAGCACCTGCTGTCACGACAGTAGCGCCTGTGGCCGCGACAGTTGCACCTGCTTCCACGACAGTAGCACCTGCTGCCACTGCAGTAGCACCTGCTGCCACGACAGTAGCACCTGCTGCCACGACAGTAGCACCTGCTGCCACGACAGTAGCGTCCGCTGCTACGACAGTAGCTCCTGCTGCTACAACGACAGTAGCACCTGCTGCCACGACATTAGCACCCGCTGCCACGACATTAGCACCCGCTGCTACGACAGTAGCTCCTGCTGCTACAATGACAGTAGCACCTGCTGCCACGACATTAGCACCCGCTGCCACGACATTAGCACCCGCTGGTACGACAGTAGCGCCCGCTGCTACGACAGTGGCTCCTGCTGCTACGACAGTAGCACCTGCTTCTACGACAGCAGCGCCTGCTGCTACGATATCCCTTTCATTGGCGAGTGGGTTTGAGGCAGAGAGAGGGCAGAGCCAGCACAGCAAAAACTTGCGTCGTGGCGCTGCTCTAATAGAAGGGAAAGGGAAGAAGGAGGAAGGTCCGTGTTACTTCACTAGATTTTTACGACTCGAATTTTTATAGTATAGGCACATCGTTTGACGATGAATTAGTAGACTTGTAGATGTAGATGATGAAGAAGAACCACGCCGCTGATGGTCTTGTAATTTATTTGGAATGCGAATGATTTATTTACTTTTAGTAGATTTGGTAGAGTAGAGCAAGTTCTCTACGCCTCATCTCATTCATTTATGCTTTCCTACTTCCTCTTCTCTCCCTTCTCTTTCTCCTTAACCGTTCATTCTGGCTCTGGCACTTAAATCTCATGCTTAGCCCGTTATTAACTTTTAGTGATTACCAGGCAGAGGTGGCGGTGAGTACCTGACTGCGTGATGACAGGGACAGCGACAGAAATCTAGATACAATTGATTCATTTGGTAAGATGAATTAAAAAATGAATCATTACGCGCGTTGATAGTATGTTAAGCTAGTTCCACCAATAGATCCCACGCTTGCCTTAGCAACTGTGGAGTGCGCCAGGAGCTCTTGCAGCTGTTGCACTTGTAGAATCACCCTGACGAGCAACATGGACATTGTTTATTAGTTTGTCTAATAAAAATCACGAGTGCGCGTCGCGTAGAAATCGGTCTTCTGTTGTAGAATGGGAGTATAGCGCGAGTTTTTGGCGCTTTCGGAATCGGTTCTCTTCTAATCAACTTGTTTTCAAATGACAAACCTCACCCAGAGAGAATAGCCGTTGATCACTTTTCATCCCGCTCTCATCTTCGCGACGATGAACCTTGGCGATGTAGCTGGGCGCTTGAGCAGATATGCAGGCGGAGGACAAGACGAAGCAGCAACAGGATGGAGCAGCTGATGAATTTGAATAGCTGTAGAATAATAATTTTAGGCCGCCAGAAGGTGCCTTGTTGTGGGCGGGGAGCGCTCACTAGAGACCCTTAGTCACTTCTTCGGTTCACTGGAGGCGGATCCCAGTGCTTTGTTTTCTGCACAGTCTGACGGTGGTACTTGGTGGAACTTTTGTGAAGCCATTTGATTCCAATATCGCTGTTGAGAAACGGGCGCTGCGTTCCTGAGTCTTACAGGGATCGCCTGCTAGATAGAAAGAAAGAAAAGACTAGTGCTCCACGCTAGCTCGGACAATAGATAGTGCAGGTGATCTTACTGGAGCTCGAAACAGTTCTGGCGATTACAGTGTACTGCTGGGTAGCCTTGGGGGCCGGATGAGGAGACTAGCTCCAATTCTTAGGTCTTGCTCGGTCAACGCTTCCTCTCTTCCAAACTTGGTAGTAGGGATGGTCGTCGAAGAAACTGACTTATTGTATAACGAGGGCGATTGATGAAGTAGAAGTTGCTGTTGTTTTTAATCCACGGAATGACTCAGTTTGCTTGTTGATCTAACCTGTGCCTGAGTTGTACGACGAGTCGATAGTTTCATTGATAGATAGTCTTACTATTACCTCGTATGGTACAGCCACTGCGTCGCTTTGTCCGTATGTACTGTTACCGAAACCTAACCTTACGCACGCTATAGGCGTACTCATCAACGCGCGAGATACCCACTTATTGCGTTGAAAATAACAGGCACAGGGCGACGAGATGTGATCTTCCATCTTCCGCATTCGGAGGAAGCGAAGTTTTCCGCCGCTGACCTCGAGAAGCTACTGGGGAGTTTGAAGCTCCACAGAGATGGACTTCTTGGCGAAGTGTTCCTGATAAAAACCGGGGAGTGTGACCAGTCAGCTTCAACTTCTACGGCTTCAAGAAGAGAACAACGTCAAGCGTTCGTTGATGTATATGAACGAAACGATGATCCTGTTGAGAGTGATCGTCGAAGGGCTCGAACTCGAAGCCCAAATCGTGGCTCACCTGCGACACCGACTATGCTGAAAGTGATGGACGAGATCGCGGAGAGCGGAGGCCATTCGATGTCGAAGCAGCTCGACTCGAAGGATGAGGAGGTCTTCATGACTGCCAAAGACGCAAATTCCCTAATCATGGAGGAGAGTGATCTGAATTTGTCATCTCAACATGCTCGCACGACAAGGAAGCGCGATAACCCAGTTTTAGGGGATGTTCAAGCGGCAGTTAATCGGGCGGGTGTCGGTGGCGCGCCGGGTGACGGCGTGCAAGAACTCGGTTCAGCTACGGACATTCAGAATACCATCGAGGAGGCCATACATGAGGTGGCGCACATGACCCTGGCGCCGACTACGACCACGACAAGCTCAACATCGACTTCCACGAGCACAACATCAACGACAAGCTACACATCGACGAGGACAACGACGTTAACTTTAAGACTCTCGAAATCCTTCGGCTTCGTCTCTTCTAGCATGTTGTGAAACCCTTTCATGAAGATCTTCTCGCTGTGGCCGTGTGGCGCGCAATTATATTCATCAAAAATTACATCAAGTAATTGTATCAAAATCAATAAAACAAGGAAAGGACCGATGATTTTGATAACCTAAAGGTAAAGGTAAAGCTTTACCATGAATGAGACCACGTACTACCTGCAACGAAAGCTCTAATATTGACCACTATGCAACCAACGACCACCACGGAAGAGCCGGAAAGTGAAAACGAAAGATTGGCAGAACAAAATGCACTCGCAAATGCTATCGGCCAAGTTGAAAATGCTGAAGGCACTCTCGAGCGTGAGCTTGAACAAGCAAAGGCAGAACAACAGCAACTACAAAGAAGTAGTGGACACGAAAGCAGCATTCTTGCACCGGTGTCGCGCGGACTGATGAGTTCTGCCACACATACGACAACGTTAGCCGAAAATTTGCTCAAGGCAGCAAAAGAAGCCACGCAAGACGAGGGAGAGAAGCAAGAAGACACGAGTTCTTTCTTCTCTGCTGCATCGACTTTTTCTACATCTACTTCTGACGAAAGTGCTGCATCACACAAAGAAGATGAGCATCAGCGGATGTTGACCACATCTAGCACAAGGAGAAGGTCATCAACATCTGCATTGTTAGATGAAGATGGGTTGGAGCTCTCCGCTTCAACTGGTGCAGAACAGCGTCACCAGCCTCTGAAGAAATCCGACTCTTTTGGCGCGAGTCGGACCGCACTGGTCGACTCCTTGGAGTCGCCGTCACGGGGCAGCTTTTCATCTTTCGTTGCGGGCGCATTTTCGTTCCTGCAAATCGGACCGGGTGGGCTTTTTTCTCGAAGAAACGGAGGACACTTCGAAGATGTGGCAGCTTCACGTGCATCTTCACACGGAGGTAGCTTAGGAGAGCAGTTGAACCGCCAGGGTTCATCGAAGCCAAAGAACCTTGATTCTGCTGTTGGTGCTGGTCTCTGGGACGGTGGTGACAGAAGAGGCACACCGGGAAGTGGCAGCCCTGATCGAGAACATCTTCCAGAAGGAAGAGGAGCTGCGCTCCAAAGAGAGAATTTCGTTGATGCTCGCGAATACGAAGGGGACAACCAGCCTAACGATGTTGATGATCAGCGAAGCTACTATGACCAAAATCCTCGTGGCCATCAAACGGTCTATGGTGCGCACAGAGCTACACCCAACAAAGCAAGGAGGAGAAGGGATAGCGCCCCACACGCACCACCTACCGCGGACTCGCGTAGAAGGCATGCGCGAAGGCATCGACATGACCGCGGCGACGTGGACTTCATCCACGGACCTGTGATGAGGAGCCGTGCCCCGCCGGGTGATTTTGAGGATGGCATTGCAAACACCGGATCTAGTGAACCGTCTCCGAGGTGGACGTACGGGGATAGCCATCGCGATAGCAGAGGGTACCACAGTCGAACAGAAGATGAAGATCATTCTTATCGGTATCCCGACCACGTTGTATCATCATCTGATGTAGATCATGCAAGCCAATATCATGGCGACGCACGGCGTGACAATGAGTACTACGACGTTCCCCCCGATACGCGGGATTCGCACTGGTCTGGCATGTTGCCGTCGAACTTACATCTGCGCGATGATGCGGGATACCGAACTCCAGTGAGAAAGACGGGGGGCCATCGCATGTTTGATTCCGGTCATTTGAACGATGACGAGTCCGTCTTTGAATATCTGCCTTTGCCGAATGAACAACTTTTGGATCCGTCAGGCTTTCCCATTTCATCAAGTTTGTACGGCAGAGGAAATACCTACACTGAAGATATCATGCTGGAAGACCATGCTAGAGACCGAGAGCGTGGTGCAAGCGTTCTAGCTCCTCCTCCTGCTTCTAACGTCGAGGAAGACTTGGAGAAGAACGATTACGATTTTGACGAGCTTGATGGGATTGGTGGGGCCTCTAGTACTAGTAGTACCTACGGACGATGGCGACACCAGGGCGACCAGGGGGGTGCGGACCGTTTCTTTGATGACGAAGATCTGGACCGAAGCGAGGATTTCGAGCAGAAGCAAGATGAAGATTCGAAAGCAAGACTTTCATCTCGGAATCCTGCATCCGAAGAGGATCGCCCGTCGGATGATAGAGAGGCATTAAGGACAAACGCTGCCTCTGGGTCTTTCATCCATCAACAGAGCGAGGATGGTCCTGAGGCCCAGAGTCGAGGACGCAAGCCGCAAGATCGTAGCGGACATTCGACCAACGAGGCTCATGAAGCTGACAGTATGCACGTGTCCTCCGCATTGGGTACGAGGACGAGCAATGAACGTACCGAGAATCAACGCAACCCACCTCCATCCGCACGCGTCATGCGTCTGGAGCTCGATGCAACAGCTCTATCCGCACTAGCTGACGATTGCCTCACACGCCTTTCGTCTCAATCGTCATCGAAAGAGAAGGACCATGACAGCACAAAGGGGCGCCATCATGCTCTAACAGGACCACATTCCAAGATCAAGGACGCTGAAGCAGGATCCACCTTGTCGCCCTCAACCCAGGCGCATACATCGAGCAGTACTCAACAGAAGCCCGGATCCCTGCAGCACTCACCGACTGCTCCACATCCTTCACCGACAAGCTTTTTCGGGGCTACAGTTGGAGAGGCAAGTACAACGCAAGAGAACGATAATTTTCACGGACTCTCACGTGACAGCTTTGTCGCGCAGCTCGAGAGGGAGAAGAGGCAGATTGAAGCGGTGGCTACTGCTGTCACTAATGCTCGAAGGGCTAGCGTCGGCCATTCGTACATTTTGCCGCCTGTGAGCTTTATCGAGACTGGATCATCAATCACTGTTTCGCCCGCCAAGGAAGATGAAGATCCGCATGCAGGTGAAAAACTATCGAGTCATCGTGCAGACAAGAGAACCGTGGTAGATGATTCAGTGCAGGTTGCTTCTGCCTTGACAGGAGTAGCTTCCGCGCCTCGGGGACCACTGGTACGCGAAGAAGAAAATCACCGCACTGGAACACCACCGGCGAGTACCGTTCACATGCATACTCACGACGATCGTCAATCAGTACCGAGCCGACAGCCCTTAGTTCGCAGAGAAAGTTCACAGACGGTTAAGGGAAGCGGTTGGAACGATCAACAAGGCGTGAACTTCTACAACAAAGACGCCCATCTTCAGAACCTGGGAGGCACCTCTCCTGGTCGACTAGAGGATGACTATCGTTATGATTCGCGACTGGTAGAGGTAGAGCAGAGAGGCAACTACTTGGGGGAGTGGCCCGGTGCTGATCCCGCGATGAGCAATTTCGAGAGGTCGCACTTGCAACATGGCGATATTGTTGACGGGGCAGGGAGAGAAGGCGACTTCGAGGAGCAACCTTTTGCGTCATTGCGATCTAGAAGCGACGTGACGGATGCTGAAGAGGAAGTGGTTTCGCGAGCTCCGCAATCCTCTGTTTCGCAGGAAGTCGTCGCTCACGAGGTGTATCATCGTGGTGCCGATGATCTAGACCACCAGCAGGACCACCGACGAGGCGTCCGAGGCGAGGGACCACGAGAACGTTTATCTATGCTGCCGCGCCACGGAAGGCAAACAAGATTGATAACAGCGCAGAATCCGGCGCGTGCAAGTTCCTTGCAGAGGACGAGTGCAGCGCAGATGGGATCATCGCACGACAGTGAAAGGCAGTCCGCCTCCGTCAGCATTGGCAGGAATTCCGATAACCTCCCTCGTGTTGATCGTGGTGGCGTTTATGCGGATTTGTCCTCGTCTGCAGAAACATATCAAGGCAGCTCGATCGGAACAGGAAATTACCCATATGGAAGCTACACCCCGTATGGAGCACAACAGCCAGGTATGCAGCAGCCGATGCCTCCCGCTCCCTATTGGAATCCTTACTATGGACAGCAGCCAGTGCTTGGCCCTGGCGCCACGGCGCAAGCACCTTATGGCTACGGCTATCCAGGATACAATGCGCCTCCGGTGGCTGGTGGAGCAAATTCGGCCGGCTACGGGTTTTATCCTCCAACCCCAGGAACGCCACAGCAAGCCGGTGGGCCGTATGGATACCCGCCGGGCGGAGCATCACAAATTGTTCCGGGAGTAGCTGCTACAGGAGGCGGTGGCTACCAGGAGTCCGGTTATGGGTACGGTACTTCAGTAGGCGCTACGCCTGGAGTCTACGATCCTGCGTCCGCAGTAACCGACTTCGCTGCGGCAATCAATCCGTTGATTCCACCAGGCGCTTCAGGTGGAACCGCCGGTGGCGAGTCCTTCGCTTCGAGGTATCTGTCATCGCTGGTTCTCGTCTTTCTCCTGATGGCTATGTGCTACGGTTGTTACCACTACGCAGAGCACTTGCGGAACGAGTCGCCTGAAGGTGGGCAACACCATTCTTCCAGAGGTAATCAGGGAACTTCTGGCAGCTTTCGGGACCCTGGAAGAGAGCAGCGTGGCGGAGGAAGTGCTAGAGCTGGAACTATGGGCGAAGGTAACATCCGACATTATCCGACGCTGGGTGGAACACCTGCTGGCAGCGGACCTCCAATGAGCACAGGAAACCGCTTTCCCGCTCAACAACAGCAACAATTTCAACCCGGGTACGGAGAACAAGGCTTTCAACAGCATAGTCAGATTCCAGCAGGCGGGACTTCTTCAGCCGCGGCTCCAGCAATGAATATCATGGTCCGTTCTTCTGTTTCGCCGCAAGCACCACGACCACACCAGCTGCTACAAGAGGATCAGATGCAAACATCAGAGAAGCAGCGCGTCGGTCAGGAACAAGTTCCGGCTCCAACGCACGAAACTCTCAACGCGCGTCGAGACGTGCCAGTGATTCGCATGTCGCCATCGGCATCGCAGGGCGTATCTCCAACAAAGGTCCACAACGCAACGACGCCCACTCACGATGATCGGAGCTACAAAACCACGCCGAAAAGCAGCTCAGAAAATGCAGCTCTCTCAGATTGACAAGAATAGCTAAGGCTTTTTCGCTGCAGCCCGTTTTTATTATATGTACGCGGTACACGTACAGAAGTGTTTTCCCTTCTTCTTGTCCAGTTCGTAATTATGTTCGTATCACGAACAAAGAAGTGTGCAACTACATACTGCCAAGCTTCTTTTACACGATCACCTACTACCATTTTGATATCGATTCATTGCCAAATATATTTAGTCATTGTCGCGCTAGAGCTACTACAACTAAGCGGTATTCTAAGATGCACAGCACCATGAATGTCCTTGTCTAAGAACCGAAAAACCTTTTTTTCGCTTTTGTTCATGATCAACAGCGATCAGTACTAGTTTTAGACAAGTGCTCATAGATAAAATGTAAAAAATGTATAGTGCGAAGACGAAGAAATTATAAGCTGTAGTTGCTGAGTGAACTGATGATAAATGCATATAGGAGAAAATGCTTTTTAATGTCAGAGCGGTAAAATTTGTGTATAAAGATGTTCAAAGAAATGAATGAAAACAAAAAACAAAAGAAGACCAGCTTGGGCTTTCTCGTCTATGAATCTATCAAATCATGTCCACCACGACGTCTAGAACTTCACAGGATTTTTTCAATCACGATTGAAGCACAAGAGTAGTTGTATCAGTATTCAAGATGAAATTAGCTTAACGTCCTCGTCCGTTGTCACACTCACGCTAAAAAGTGTTGTCTCGAACACAAGGAGCATCCTGCGCAGTATAAACGCGTTGCTAGTAACATTGCGGAATAGAGACTAGCTCTAGCGTCACCGATTTCCAATGAATTATCTTAGGTCTATAATATTTCGAGCCACAGGGCCGGGCCTGAAACGTTAACACGAATGAATGAGGTTTCAGTCATCATGAGACGATGATTGAAGAGAGCGCAACCGTAAACACTACCAACATAGCTGATCTGGAGCTTTTTTTTCTGTCTTTGTCTTAGTCTATTGAATCATCACAGGCTTTGGCTTCCCATCAAAATCTCAGTCAAAAGATCAACTTCGAATCGACGCTACACGAAGGAGGATACGAGCCACCCATTCTATGATTTCGAATTTGGAGCTGAAGGATGAAGAAACTGCAGAGCAGGTCTGGATATCTAGCAGAAAGTTGGATAGCCTTCGCAGAAGTCAAAGTCTGTTCTGCCAGAGAGTACACTGAGGGATTTGAGCATGATGCTGCAAGAGATCTTTGACAGCGATCATAATTTTGTTATGGGGTTGTCGTTGTTGACAGCCTCTGAAGATAATGTTGTGGTGTAGGACATGATGCCATGCAGTTAGCTCCTGGTGACGGACGATCACGAGGGATCCATATGTTTCAGTGCACTGCCCTCTTACACTTACAAACATAATACGTATGTTCTTCTAGAAGTCGTGTTGAAAAAGAGGGCAACAAGAACTCAGCAGCGAGTGTTTTCGACAAGTCATTCCTTCCAAAGATTTTTTTTGCCATTGAAGATAATGAATGCAATGTGATTTAATAATTTTAATAATTATAGCGATGAATATGTAGTTCCACTTCTAGTTGTACTTGTGTGTGACGATCATGTCATTTGATTGGAATCAAAATCAATAATCATGTAATTAGTTGTAAGGATGTCCTCTCCTTCATCGGCGTCTCTTGCTTGCTGCGGCACGAGGCGCTGGCGCCATATTGCAGCGCTGCTTAGCATTCACCATTTTGGCAGCTGCCTCCATCACGTAGAGGAGCGTCATCACGATGCGTGGGATTGGGAGGATGACGAGCGTCGCCTCGCTGCATGGAACGAAGCTGCGCATCTTCCTGAACGCCACATTGACAGTGACGCGCTTGCCGAACAAGACTGGTAAGATCTACTTTGCGTTTGAGAAAAATTGAGTGTGATGTTCATCACTTCATGCAAGGGATGAGCATCGTCACACTTACTATGGTTCATATAAGTAGCTAAAGCTAAAGGCGAATGCTGAGCATGATAATGATAATCATACTGTGGTAACGTTGAGGTTGACAGGCACCTTCAACACTGTTCTTGTTGTAAGTACTCGTATAATGGAAAAAATGAAAATGCCCTCTCGCTGCACTCGTCTCAGTCCCGTATGAGGATTCTTTTCATCTCATGCAAACAAGATTATTGACTATCTAAGGTTCAGCAACTTATTTGACAGGGACATCAACGAGCATCGGAACGATGAGCGGAGCCAAGGAAGGAGGCGACAACGATGACGTTGAGCACGATGATGGACCTCTATCCGATTTCTCATATAGCAACTCCGCGCCTTCACCCCCAGACGGTGCTCTGGTGGAAGCAAGCATGAAGAGGATTTCCAGATGAAGTCAAAGAGAAACTTCTCCTGAATCCGACAACAAGCACCCAACCGAGGAAGCGTCCGTTTCGAAGGCTCCCGCCTTTCCACGATCAGTAGAGACCAGTGCGAAAAAACTGAGCATTAAGGGATCGACTATCCGTTCGGTTGGACTCGCCGTCAATACCGCGACACAAATCGACCTGCCTTTTGCTGGTAAAACGGCTGACACGGAGAGCCCGCACGGCGCTGTGGTGGATCCAATGAATCAAGCGACTCATAACGAGGACGTTTCCGGAAGCATGGAGCGCGCTACTGCTGGGTCGACGGCTTTGGCGGAACCTAGGCGAAAGGGACGTGCGACTGCAAATGCAGGCGAGTCGGTTGTATCAGGAGAAGTTGCATCAGATATGGACCCTGAGGCTGAGATCGCACCTCGAGTCGCGGAATCGCCGATTGGTCGCACGAAAGTTGTGATTGATGCTCCTGCCAGCACAATCTCAGCAGACGAGAAAAGGACGGATCAGCGTTATTCGGAACGCACTGATGCACAAGCGAATGCGAAAGATGAGATCCGCACATTGTCGAAAAAATCTGCCCAGCTAGCTCTCGATGAGGCGGTGGGTGTTGTCGGAAACCACGACAAACACGCGGATGACGAAGAGCTTGACGAGGATTATGCGCATGACGAAGACGAGCATGCTGACGAAGACGAGGATGTTCACGAAGTTGACCATGACGAAGACGAGGATGTTGACGAAGATGAGTACGACGGAGACGAGCATGAGGGTAGCGGATTCAGTTCTGATGGCTCGGCCGAAGGCCCCTTCAAAGACCCCTCCGAAAGGACAGCAGGTGAAGACACGCCACGTCATTTTTTTCGCAGTTCCAGCCACGGTGGTCTGCTGCACGAGTTCAGTTTTGGTTGAATGCTGGCAGAGGTGTTGAAGCCCGTCCGAGGCCAGAGATGTACTGGTCATGGTCTCCTCAAATGGGACCTTTGAGGAGCTCCACTGGGCTGCGCTGGTGCTATCTTTGTTCACCAATCTTGATCACAACCACGATGGCAAACTGCTTCTGCGGGAAGAGGTTGGCGCGAGTCTCTTCGTTGCTGACTGGGACTCTGGTGGCGCTGTCTCTTTTGGAGAGCGAGAGCTGTTCTCCAACGGAGAAGAACAGTATGCAGCGGCGGATTGTTTTTGGGACTGGACACCCCCTGGAAAGAAAGACGCCGTGATATTTGATGCCAAGACCGGTGCACCGCATGCGTACAGGCCATCGCTTGACCAGAAGCCGCAGAGCCGCACCAAATCGAAGAGGGTTATTACTAGTGAGGCTTCGAAATTGCAAAAGGAGGATAAACTGGTTTTCCGATAGACCAAATAATATGTGGGGACCCTAAGCGAAAGCGTGGGATCCCTTATTATCTTTTTCAGTGGACGTGGAATACGACAACGCACAATAAGTGAAGATGTTTCCCGTTTGTTTGTGCAAAAATATCAACTTTCACCGTGCCTGATGCTTACAGGCAGCGACAGTGTGTTCTGAATAGATGTGAGTTTACACGAGGACCCGTGCGCTTCAGCATTATTATACAAGCTTCAAGATCAAGTAGATCATCCATCAGACGAGAACACGAGGTAGTCGACAAGAACACCTGAAGAAATCAAACTTGTCCGGTGTTGCTTGTTAGCAATCACAAACCTCCACCTCGTTTATTTGAATTGACCTGTTACAACGCATGAGAAAGACGACGCAGAACGTGTTCGCATAATAAGAACACGGAAACGCAGAACTACAGTTGTTCAAGTTGCACAAAAATGAATGAAAATGAAAGAAAATAATGCATGTAGTTTTGTAAGTCCATCTTCTCTGCTCACAGCATGGCATAGAATTTTGCAACGCAAGTAGAACGATCAAAGCAATTATCACATTACCAAGATCCTCCATTTACAACAAAGCTTACCAATTGGGTCAGGATCAGGAAACAAATCAAAATATGCTATCTGATTTTGTACTTGTAGCTTCCTCGCTCTGAAATATAAGCCGTGTTCCCACGCTCCTGCTAGTTCTTTTTCTTGGATCTCAAGTTGTGCTGTCAAGATCTCACTGGATTATAACTTTTTTTATTCCGCATCCGCCGACTTTTCTTTTGTAGAACGAAGTAGTTTTCATAGTCCAGTTCTTCATCTTTACCTTCTTCTCTTTGATTCCTCTAAAAGAAGTTTTTTTTTGTATATTCCGTGTGGCTGTAGTTGCTTGGATGATCTGTTGTAGATAGAACTATTGAATCAAGATCAGACTGTCGTATTGAAGTTTTTGACCTCTTCTTCTTTCAAACTGACCGCAACAGATACCCGGTTTAGATCCCACTTGCTTCTCAGTACCTCGTCCTCATAGATTCTATCACTTCATTGTGATTCGTCACTTGTGAACGAGAACAAGGAGCTACCTAGAACTTCTAAATATAAAGAAATAGAAGATTTCAAATTCAACAACTTCGCTAACGCTAACGAACTTCGGTAGAATTATCGTTATAACTACGTCATCGTTGATATTAAGTGATTTAATTATACCTTTCTGCGACCTGCAACTCCATACACTTATAATTTTCGATTTCGTTCTCCCACGACTGCGACTAAGAAAATGTCAGTGACTAGCGAGCGTGCCGTTGAAGAGAAGGAACTCACTCTGGAGAACCCAGAAGTGTGCACCAAGTACAGAACAGCAGCTGACATCGCAAACAAGGCTTTGCAGACGGTCCTCACGGCATGCAAGGAGGGCGCTGATATCTTCGAGCTCTGCAAGCTCGGTACAATTTAATTGAACAGAAGAGCATCACTTTCACTACACTCTTATGCTTATGGTGAACGCGCTCGTCTGAGTCTGTAAAACAATTAAGAATAATTCAAGAACAACTCTCATGGTCATGCTCGTCTGCAGAAGGGATTTTTAAAACCCGAATAGAAATAGAAGTTGTCAATATACTTGAATCTCTCGTTGTTCGATGTCATTATGATTATAATGATCAATTGAAAATAATGCAAATATTTTTTATCAAAACCTACAGTGGATGCCGAAATCAAAAACTATTTGTTGTATCTACCATCACGCACAAAGCATTGACTTGACTTGAAACCATTTCTACATAGGTGACGACACTATTCATGAGGAAACCGGAAAAGTTTACAATAAGAAAGTGAAGAAAGGCGATGAAGAGAAGGACTCGAAAAAGGGTGGAGATGCTGGCGTCAAAATGACGAAAGGTCCCAGGATTTTACTTGTGTTGTAATAAAGAAAAAGAAGAATAAATTGAATAAATACAGGAGAAGCAAACAATGACCATCATGCATATACATAGATATAATACGAGCTTCTTCGCCTTCCACACAATGTTCAAGGTAGGAAAATCATAGTAATGCAATTACAAGTGCTTCTTCCTATTTGCTTTTTTATTCGCAAGTTTGAAAGATCATGGACTTTCTTGGAGGACTTCTATATCCACATTCGCAAGTCTGACTCTTGCAACATTCAGCAAGTTTGACACCTCATACCTGCAACATTAACATTCACATCTACGACACCCGACAGGCATTGGTTTCCCCACGTGCGTTAGCGTAAATGAAATCGGTGGAAACTTCTCACCCCTCAAGGGGGAATCCAAGCAGTTGCGAAGCGGCGATGTCGTCAAGGTGGATTTGGGAGTCCATATCGATGGTTTTTTGGCACAGGCAGGACACACAGTCGTGGTGCCAGCTGGTAAGAGTTTGCTCAACAAGAACAACTCTTACATATACTTACATATTTATAGTAATACCGAAATGCGTTTACGTAATACGTAAGTTGTCAAAATCATGAACAGGAATTTCAAACAGGACATTTTTTACCAAAGGAGAACTTCAAAGACGAACGTGCAAAAATTCTTTGAAGTAGGAGTTGTACTTGTAATTTTACAGGTCGATAATATCTGGTGTTTACAAAATCAAAAGGTGAGAGCGACTCCCCGAGCGCAACACAAGAAGCGACAAAGATCACCGACAGAAGGGCTGACGTCGTCATGGCAGCCTGGAACGCCGCTGAGGCGGCTGCGCGATTGATGCAGGTCTCCTTCTACAACTATTGACGCTAATGTAATTGCAGATCACTTCGTTTGATTCCTGTCCTTGTGAGGATGTTGCCTCAAAGTTCCTACGTATTATTTTTGCTTCTGTACGATATATAGTTATTTATTTTCAAAGCAAAGCAGAATTATCCTGCCCATTCTAGGTCGGAAACAAGAACACGCAAGTTACGGAAGTTTTGCAGAAGGCCGCTGAGGAATTCAAGTGCCAGCCGGTGTCCGGAGTATTGTCACACAACGTGAAGCAGCACGTTATTGACGGCAGCCGAGTTATCATCGGAAAGGAAACCGACGATCAAAAGGTCGACGAATTCACTTTCGAAGCCAACGAAGTTTACACCATCGACGTTGCTTTCTCCACTAGCGATGGAAAGCTTCGCGAAAGCGAAAGCAGACATACGGTACTTCTAGAAATTTTTCTACTTTTTCACCAAAGTTAAACAGAGAGGTGTTGTGTCATACTAAATCATGATACGATGGCACGAAACCTTCATCTTGTTTGATATTCTCGAGCAGAAAGAAGAAAAAGTCATATTACTCCATCATCTGGAATTCTTGATCGACTACAATCTTTATGACAGATAAGAACTATTACTATTAGAAAGGCTTTTTTAATCTTCAGGTTTACAAGCGGGTCCCGGAAAACAAGTATATCCTGAAAACGCAGAAGGCTCGCCAATTCATCTCCGAAGTGCAGCAACGGTACTTTTCATCATAATAATTTTCTATTGTTGAACTTGAAACATCCGCTAAAATTAAATTACTTTTATTCTTAGGTTGTGAAGATTGTGATTGATGCAGAGGATCATGCTTAGTCATCTATTAAATTCCTCTTCTTTTTTGGTGTAATTGTCGCATTTTCACAAAACCAAAACAGATTCCCAGCCCTCCCTTTTTCTCTTGCCAATATTGAAGAGGAGCAGTGCGCCCGTGTCGGAGTCACCGAAGCTAAGCGTCATCAGCTGTTGCACGAATATCCGGTTATGACCGAACGCACCGGGGAATACGTCGCTCAATTCAAATTCACTGTGCTGTTGCTTGCTGGTACATCTTAATGCAGCTTAATGTATCAGATTGCAACTTCTTGTCATCTCACGTTGCTGTTCTCCATTCTTTTAGCCACTAGTAGACGTAGTCATCGACTACATCCTTCATTTCGCTATCTCGATGTGAGTCATGCCTCTTGTTTTTATTTTGCTAAGACCTCGCATCTTTATCTTCTATCATTGATTGGTCTGGTTAGTCTTAAACTCAATGCCCGCGCTCGGTATGGATTATATCCAAACCTATACCTACACGCGCGAGACGACAGGGTCGCGCGCGAGCATAAGAATAATGATAATATAATCATATTAATCACGATAAAAAACAAAAATTGTAACATCATTACCTGCTCAAGTAGGCGAGCATGCTATCATTGGGACGAGGACGTCACTCCATTTCCATTTCTCACTTTTTTTGCAGGAGGAACCAAGAAGGTCACGGGTCTTCCGTTCACCCAGGGCGACTTGATCGAATCGAGTTTCAAGATTGAAGACGAAAATTTGAAGAAAATTTTGACCCAGTCAATCGCCCCGCGTAAAAAGCGTAACAATAAGAAGAAGGAAGGTGAAGAGAAAAAGGATGAAGAGTAAACGCCGCTCGTGCCGCTGAGATCATCCACAACCACATCCACATCCTTTAGAAGATATTTATAAAAAGAAGAATGTAGAACAAGAATTGTCGTGCAGGAGATCGAATGTGAAGCATCGATCTTCAAAAATCAGATTGGTTCGTGTTGAAGAATCCTTGAATCTGATTTCATCATTTATGAGCAGTTGCAGCTACAACTACGAACTTCTACGCGACGTCATGACAAAATGAAGCGACGACGGTGCGTACAAACAAGAGTGACCTGCTGAAACTCTTAAGAATCAGATACACTTACACGTACGACCAGCATGCGGCCTAATAGTGTCATGATCAGCTGGCGCTTAGTTCGTCTCCATAAGATTAAGCAGCAGGTAAGCGAATAGAGGTTAGTACGCCAAGAAATGCACGTCGTCAGGAGAAAGTCATAATGTTGCCTTAATCCGGACAAAAAATCTGTATACTTCTTGTTTTACCTCAAGCGCTCAGCACACGTCGACATGGAATCATCTTCATCTTCATATTTTTCACGACCATGAATGTCTAAACATAGTTCTAGCCTAAGCTAACCTCCCGATAGATTTCGATACTGAAAATACCATCATAGAACAAAATGCTGCAGTCCTGGATGTCTCAAAGAATTGTAGTTGGTTATTGATAGCTCGAACGAACGTTGAAAAAGGTAACTCGCTGCGTGGTTGTCAGCTACATGGTAACTGCGTCGTCGCAATTGCATTCATTCATTATCCTCAGAAGATTCAACAGTCATTTTTTGTTTGATCTACTTTGTCATGTGATTCATTCTTTTTATCGTATACTTGTCTGTTTTATATATAGGTACGATCATCATCATCATAATGTTATGTTTTCCTGGTTTCAGCACCAATCAAGATGCGCTGGCTTTCGGGCTTTGGCAATGCAAACGTCAATCAAATCGCAAGAATTTAATGAAAGAAGTTGTGACGCGGCGAACCCGGTTGCTCCGCGGACAGGTCTTCAAGAATTGGGAATTTTCATAAAAGGTTGATCTTGATGAACCAACTCCTGTAATAATTCGGTAAAAGTTGTCAGCGCGCAATCATCATGTTATCTGTCCTATGTCACTCAACTGAATGCATTAGAGACTAATTTGAATACTCAGAGGAAGCAACACCTCAAAGGCAGACAAAGTTCAAAAAAGCACAGCAAGCTATTGTTTTTAGAAAGATTCAGGTTGTTTACAATCAAGAATGTGAATGATGCAGATGCATTATGCTCACGCACAAAATCCTGGAAGGCGAAGCAGATACAATTTGTGGCAAGACGTCCTAGGTGTTTAAGGTCGTTTCCGGATCGAGGGCCCTCTGTGTCGCTTTTGCAAACGAAAAAGAACTTGTCGAGATGAAAAAACAAGCAAAACACAGCAGATGTATTTCAAGTTGAGAGCGTTGATTCCAGGTTAGTACTCAGCGTCGTGCAGGTGCAGCAATCTGACGCCCTCGAATTGCGAAAATCTTCGCAATCCGCTTTCACCTCTACTCTCAGATCACGACTAGGTAGCGCGGATTATTGTTCATCTTATTAAGTAATTGTGCATTCATCTTTCTTGCTGTGGTCTATTTTCTTGCCAGAAGTCCTAGTAGTGCTTGTTCGTACTTTGTTTTAGTACAACATAGACGTTGTTTGCTTCTCTCGTTTATACAGCATAGTCTATTTTCACTTTGTGGTCTATGTATTAGTTTGCTTCATCTAACTCTATCAATACCAATGAATAGTCAAAGAAACATCTGAATTTCTGTGTCGTGGACTTGGTGAATTCATGAAAACGCTAATGTGCTCACAAAGAATGAAGCCGGCTTGTTCCGTCTGACGACGAGTGTATGCACAGGGCGAACCACACAAAGCACTACCCTGACAATTGCGAATTGCAGTACATAACGCGACCACGAACGTTTGAAAGAGGAGCTGAGTTTTGCGTTTTTCTATACTCGCATTATTCCCCCTCCTCTTCTTGCAATTTTTGGTATCCCTTTGAAATAATTGTGTAGTTCCACAACGCGGGTCCGGGTTCGAATGTGCAAGTAGAAATTCCAGTCCTCCTGAAGGAGAATGTCATTACCGGAGGTTCGTGTGAAGCCGTCGCTGGAGTATACGGCGGAAGTCGTCGTTCTCATTACGACTTTGGGAACGAAGCGGACGGAATTTAACGCGGGGCAGAGAGCACGAGATTTGTTGTTAAGTCTATACTAGTAGATAATGCATCTTTTTTTAGTGCATCCTTGAAAAGTATGCCTGATTATTATCGTGCTTTACTCTTCAAGGATGTAGCTGAAAGATGAACAACCACGGAGCGCGCTAATGTTGGAGATCAAACGTGCTCACCACAAGATCATCGACTTCAATCGTGATGCGCGAGCGCAAACAACAGCCGTGCAGGGCAAGGCAATCGCTCAGCTCTCCAACGAAGGAAGTAAATACCGTAGGCTGCACACAGACGAAGACGACGACTTGATTCTACCACAAATATTTTATGACAATGACTTGTAGTTGTTACAAGATCAACATCAGGATTTGGATTGCATTCGCACCACTAGCAGATGATAGGACGTGGCCAAACATCGATCACAAGAATTTGTCGTTGTTTTTCTCACCTTTGGAGGACCGACGTGCGAAAAGTGCTTTTATTTGCTTTTTTATATCTGGGACTGGAGTGTAATTCTTATCAAAATCAGTACGAGGTCATTAATTTTAATTTCATGCATGCATCGTTCGATCATACTTTTACATGATCAACACCACCTTTCTCGTTCATTTTTGCGTGGACGGCTTGTACATCGGCGATGCGGACGAGTTGCAAGGACTTGAAGATGACGGACTGCTGGACGACCTTCTCAGGAGAAAAAAGTGTCCGAGCAGAAAAGGAAAGGGAGGCTACTGCGGTGAGGAGCGCAGTGAGAGCGACAAGTCGTGCACCAAGTGTGGTGAAAGTTTCAAAGAGCTTCTTTCGGGGTACTTTACAGTAGGTCAAAAGATTCGCGAGTGCGAGGAATACGATCGATTCCTCGTCTGAGTTGTTAGTAATCTTCATAATGGTAATTAGACAAGTGGTCAATATCCATTGACAGCCTTATCGAGGAGTGCAGAAAACCGGAAGGATTGACTGTGCGGATGTTAATCATCATCGTGACATTTAAGGATGAGGAGGTCCGTCAGTATTCTTTGTACTACGTTTGCGTTTCTATGCAGTCATGACTGTACAACACGCTGGTCAAGGTTCGCTTTCTCCATCATGACAAAGCACCAGGAGCTCAACCTGGTACTCGTTGAAGATAAACGACCTCGGTGGAATGCGGAGCAAGATATTGTTATTGATTTTTACCGCATGATCGAAGCACTAGCGCTGGTCTCGGTACGTTGATCATGTGTAAGCGTATCGTTTGTCAAAAAGCCTTGTGGTCATTCTATTGTCGGTTGGTACGTTACTGTCTATCCTCGGTCAACAAGTTCTGTTGTGTGCGATGAGGTAGCGTCCTGTATTGCAGTATCAGAAAATGCATCGCACCGTATAGAAATTATTGAGCTCGGTGGTAAAAGATCAGGCGTGCATGCATCCTACAAAATTCGGTTATATTTTTCGGTCGCAAGCAGAGAAACACTTGGTATTGCTTCTAGGCAACGCTAGACGGTATACTCTCACTCTTTTCACATACGGTGCCTTGCTCTGTCTTACACCACGAAGTCCTACGAATCTTTTGTGTAGTAAGTGTAGTAAGGGCTGACTGATGCTAAAAAATGGGTAGGTCGTGTCGGTGTAGTACATCATAAGTATACTCGCTCCTTGTTCTTCCAAAAGACATCAGCGTGGAGAGCGCGTATAATCACAGATTTCGTATGTAGAAATTTGAAGTCTTCACAGTCGCGGTCGCCGCTCTACTCGTAGATCACCAATTGTTTCTTGAACACACGAACAAAATGAAGCGTGCAGCGTCTTTTGCTTCGTTCGTGAGGAGACGACCTCGCGGTCGTGACGGTTCACGGACTACTGCGGAGTCGAAAAAAGACACAACTACATCATTGACAAACAGCTTGCTGGACGATCATGTTGAGGCAAAAAATCCTTCGACACTGCCGCTCGGTGCAACGGCACCTACAGCATCGTCAATTACCCAAGCTGGTGTTGGTGGAGCAGGTGGACCAAAAACAACGACGACCGACACTAAGCAGAAGAAAGAGATGGGGCGCAGTAAGTCCACCTCAAGCATCGTGAAGAAGGTGAACACCGTATTAGGCAATCATGCGGCGAAACAAGAGCAACTTGTTTTCAACGTGCGTGTCACGAACAATTCAGAGTCGGAACTATCGAAGGGTGTGCTGCTTTTCTCGGCAACAGGATCAAACTCACGTCCGCTTGCGCCGTCTTCTTCATCCAAGGGTCTACCTGATTGGATTGCTTCTGGAAAAACTGTCAGCGCAGTGTACAATGGAAGTCAAGGCGCACTACAAATCCCGCATTTCGAACCGATACCATTCCATGTGGGCCTGCCTGCGGGTGGTACTACAGCTAGTCGTAAAAGCTTGATGTGGATGTCCATGTTGCTAGTTTCTCTCTAATTTCATCGACAACGACATGAAGATACTTTAGTCATTTTCACCGTCGTCAGATATTGCAGCCACACGAACTATCTTCTGATGTGAGAGAATGAGAACAACTAGTACCAGTCTACGTCCAGCATTACGATTACCTACTAGCATTGTAAGTATGCTCCTAGCGTATATTAGTTCGACCATCACTATCACCTCTTGCTCTTTCGCTTCGACTTCGTCACTAGGTGCGGTGTTTAGGCGACCGACCGCGTCTGCTGCACGGCCATCGGCGGCCTTTGTGGGGGAAGGCGGAAAGCAGAAGACGACAGTGGTCGGTGCACCTTCGTGGGATTGGCGGGATGCCTTTGCTGAGAAGCCGACAGAGGGCTGGGCAGCCGAAATTGAAGTCCATCCAGCTTATCGTGGGGCGTTTTTGTCAGGCGAAGAAGAGGAACAGCGGGACAGTGTCGCGCGACCAACCAAGCTCCTACACGTAAAAATTCGGCAAGCGACGGGTAACTAATGTTCCTGAAAGACCACACAATGAGCAACACTAAATGCCAATGGATCCGAAAATACTTTTTTATACTCTATTTGTTTCATCTTCATCTAAAACTAGTAAAGTGACTCTCTTTGACTCCAAGAAAAATATGAGACCAACGTCAGCTACTTCCATTTTTCGCCGATCCACCTTTTAATGTTGATTGTTTTCAGGTGTGGAGCTGAAGCGCTGTTTGCAGTTACAAGCCATGCGGGAAGCATCAGAGGATGGCAACTACGACACCTTGGTTGCGCAGGTCACGAAAGCACGAGTCGCGGGCTGTCTTTTACAAGATATCGAGAAAGCAGAAGCGGTAATCAAGAAGCTGAAATCGGAACGCAAGCACATCAATGAGGGCTGCGACCACGAGACGTTACAGAACTACATGACGTGGGAGAAAGTAACAGATCGTGGCGGAAAGGCGGTGCCCTCAAAGCTCGGAGAGGACTATGCCACTGCCGGTGCTTCCACGGGTGCTAGTGGGGGCGGCGGATCCGAACAAAAGTGTGGCGCGTCTTCGTCAACACCTGCAAATGCTAGTAGTAAAGGCAAGGCTACAGCCGCTAATGCATCGAGCAGGAGAGGTAGTCGCAGCCCAGTGAAAAGCATGAAAGCTCCTGCGGAGAGCAAGAGCAAGGAAAACAACGTTTCCGAGGAGGTAGACAAAACGGATGAGGTGAAAAGTAGCAGTAGTTGTATGGAAGTAAAGCCTCAAAGTGTTTCTGCTGAGTCAGTAAAGGTTGATGACTCGAATGCAGGTGCGACTAGTAAAGTACTTCCTCTGAGCTCGTCTAACCTGGAGAAGCTGCCAGCAGGCGATTCAGCTGGTGCTGGTGGGCGAGAGAGCGCTGGGGACGCTGCTAGTACCTCTGTTGGCGTTGGACAGCATGAGGATGTAGCCAGTGCTTCTTCGACACTGCCACTCACTGCGGCAGGTTCCACTTCGTCTGTAATGGCGGACGACCCACCTCTTGAGGAGCCTAGCGGGAATACGGGAGGAGAAGGAGATGCGGCAGCGCCCGAAAAGTGTGAATTTGATGTGAAGAAACTACTCGAGTTGAAGAGAGTTGCTCCTTGTGCGGACGGCACGTGTGCTTTTGTTGAGAAGCAAAAGCCGCCGGAAGGCAACCCTGATCCCGCATACTTCGAGCGGATTTTGTACGAGAATCGGCGTTGCACTGTGACACCCAATTGTCCCTGCAATGTTCACGTCAATCCTGGAGAAGTGCTGGAATTTGTCCCTGATGCGATCCTCGAGTGTCTCGGGAAGCAATACGGTCCACACGCAGATGAGGCCTTGTTTCGCGAACTGGTGGAGTCGGCGGTCGCCGTTGAAGAAGGCTCCGTGTGGCGAGCGGGAGGGAAGTATATTTTTTCGGCCTTCGACCGCAATCAGAGTATGGTGGCTTTGCAACGAACCCTGGAAAAATACGGGAGGAGACGTTGTGCAGACATGCTGCTAAAGCTGTGCGCCTTCTGTGAACGAAAGTACGAGGGATACGTCACAGCAGTGCAGGTCAACTTTCACCCTTATGCGCAAACATGAAGTTTTTGTAAATGTGATTGCAGATCGAATAATATTATTCAAATGATATCGATGAGAGTATTTACGTATGTAGTTGTAGATGAACATGAAGTAAGGCTCACACGCTGAGAACGAGCAGCCCAGGAAGAAACCTTGTACACCTAATTACTTTCAAGAGTTTTTGCCCCTTTGTTAACTGAGAGAAAATCCCAAAAGTATAACTACCGTTGACGACGACAAGCTGCAGTTATGTATATATAAGTAGCTGTAGGTGTAGGTAGCTGTACAATTTTGCCAGTCTTCATTTTGCGCACGGCGACACGTACCATGACCAGCATCGCGACATCTACAGCGGCAAGCAGCGTGCAGGACCCAACTGCACATGCAGTTTCCGGGAATGCGTGGGCACAGTTTGCTTTTCGCTCGGAAGCTCACGAGTCTGTATGATGGAGACACTGACGGATGAGTTTTCGCATTTGAAGGCTTGTTCGGCTGGCGGAGGGGGCAATGAAACGAGAGAGAAAGCCTGCGAGGGAAGATCAGAAAAAGTGTGGCTAGATTCAGGGTGTAGTATGTATTTCAATGCGGAATGGAATTCAAACCACAATCACGGAATACCAAAAATGGACTTTACATGCGGACCTAGAATCAGCATTGCCTACCTTATGGGAGCCAAGTAATAGTCTAGATAAACGCGGGAATGGGCATAAGCATATCAACATAAGTTGTTAGTCTTGAAGTTCATAATTACTGTCATAGGTAAATCCATATAACATCGTGACCAAACAGACTACGTTGCTCGCCAGGATTCAATTCTTCCTGTTGCTAAGCTTGTGCTCGTTTTCGAAGAATTATAGAACACTAACATGTTTTGAAGACGGGAGACAAATAGTATTACTTCGAAAAAATTTAGAATATCGATGCACGCTGATCATAGATTGTAGTTGCGAGAGTCCGTAACCATAAGATAGTGGTGAATGAGGATGCCTGCTCGTGTAGTTCATGACAGAAAACCCAAATAATGTCATGCGCTCCGACCTATCGAAGGCGCCCTATATCTATTATGCACCATGCATATTGGTATTGCCCATGGGCTCATAGATGAAAGAAAATACTAGAATGTAATTCTAAATAGAACTAGTTCCAATTATAGAACTACTGGAATATTTCAAGAAAGGATGAGTTTAAAACTTTATGTACCGGTCCAGTGAGCTAATGGTAATGTTGCAAAAAAGTTATGAAAGATAAAGAACCAGAACCACATCCTCATCCAAAACTATGTGACCTCTAGTTGTAGTACAGAGTTGATCCTATATGCACATCCTTCACTTTGAGCAGGTTTTCGTAAGGGAATGTAGTGTGCCCATAGATCAGGAGCATCAGATGTATCATTCAAGAAGCAAGATCATGCAGTCTTAACAATTCCATTTTTCTCAATGCCAACATACTCTCATCTCCATGCCGTCGCGGGTCTTCCTCGCATGTCGAATGCCGTACTGGTACCGCTACGAGACTTGTTATAGTCGCAGGCCCATGCAATTCCCACACCCTAATTTTGGTCGAGGCGGATTCGTATTGCTTCAAACGTCTCTGCGTCAGAGCGTAAAGCTTACGTTGTACTATTGCTTCAAGTCTGTCATCGAGTACTGCCGTCTTGACAGATTCCAGTGGATGAGCATGAGAAAGATGTGTCAACGTCAATTTCGATTTCGCTGCTTGAGTTGAAACGCAGGACAAGCAAAGACGAAATCGGTTCGTTGTGATCAAATTAATCCGAATACTTACTAAAACAATGAGGAAGAAGATGTTGACCTGCTAAAGAATCTGTCAATTGTCAGGAATTGCAACGCTGTTGTATGATACTTTAGACTCCTGTCGGTGCGTGTTGAAGAACACGAGGCTTCAGTTCGGTACGCACGCACTTGATAATACGATACACGCTAAGAACAAGCATCCGTTTATTGACTTGCAGACCTCGATGTCGGTCACAAGATGATCAAGAGCAACGATATTGACCATCCCTCTAGCTCTATACTGCGTGATGCATGATTATCTCTTCTTTTGCAACATCAACATGAAGGTTAAGTTATATATAAGGTTGAATTGATACGATAGATCGATCCTCATCGTTCTTTTTCTTGCCGCGGTCTTGTACTTGTTCACGAAATTTTCTATGCAGCTCAGATGAAGACAATTCTTGTGGATGCATAGATTCTACAGCGACGTAGTGGGAGTAAGTTAGCCTTCTGGCTCTGTACGTAGATCCCGCAGTAATTTCCTGCATTTCTGCAACACCTCGCTACAACATCAGTATCAGACAGAGCTTCTTTGACGATCTGGCTTTCTTACCTCGGCTTAGCTGACCGCGCTCGTGTGGAATCAATCTACCTGCACCGCACGAACCACCGGGGAAGTGAGTGATGTCTACATCAGGAAAGGCAGTTTCTGGCGACGCCAGTCGGAACGGAGCACAGAATAAGCTGGAACTTTTTCCGGTTCCCTCAGCTTCGACATCAACGCTGGAGCTTAACACTGACGCACTGTCGTTGTCAGGAACCTCGCCAGCCTGGCGTGGGTCTATGAAGCGCGTAGTCGACAAAGCCGCGAACAAATTCTCCACGAAGAAATCGGTACTGATTCCACATAGAGAAGCAATTTTCTATTAAGTAATAATTTCATTGTTGTACCACCAATGCTACAGATTATTCTGTTCTTGAAATGTGTTGACGCTGACATGAGCTATTGTCTGAGAATGAAAGAATATGAAAATGATCATTATGTCTTCTGATATGAGCAAAGACAAATTTTTAACGATCATAAGGTGTGTTTGTGTTAGTGTTATTCTTGATCACATCTTTCCACGATACAGAACATGAAAAGGGGAACGCCGTCCGATGCGGAGCAAGCCTTGGCTCGCCGCATGGCTGCAGATGCGCGAGCACAGGCTGAGAGGCGTGTCGCGGAGGCAGAACGTGATCGAATGCTGGGACGCATGTTCGATGGCAATAAGGGCCCGCTGAATCCGACTCAAATCGCAATAGTGGGCGCCGGTCCGGTTGGTCTGTGGCTTGCTCTTCTGCTCTGCCGTCAGTACTATCCCAAGGGGAAGGAGCACTTGCTCAACGCGCAGGTGAATTTGCAGAACCAGCACAGGAGTCGCAGCAAATCTTCGAGTTCCGACGCAAACCGAAGGGGCAATGGTGACGGTGGTGACCAAGGTGGTTCTTCTTCCACGCCAAAAAATCTGGATCATTTGTTCGTGACTACAGCTTTAGACTCCTCTCTAGATGGAGGTGCTCAACAAGCTCCTGGACCTCCTCTGGTTATATCAACCTCGAGACCGGGGAGCCGTGCTGGGACCCCAGCGGGCGGAAGCACGAGGGCTCCACAGCAGAATGCGACTGGGATAGACAAAACCACCAGCCGGAAGCTTGCAGCCATTGGTGTGAGTCCCACCAAAACGTCGAGTGGAAGTTCCTCTTTCGCTCGCGGCGGCTCGTTAGACTTGCAATCCGACATCCCTCATTTGAGTATCGGAGGCGCGGACGAGATCGGAGCAGGGCTAGGAGGAGACCCTCACAACTTGCATTTGGGCAGTCCTGGAAAGACAGTAAGTGCTATCGCGCTATCCCCCGCCGCGACATCTGTAACTTCATCAGCAGCGTCTGCGGCACCTTCATCACAGGTGATGCTGAAGATCCACATTTACGAAAAACGACCACAGCGAAGTCACGGGACGCGCAACATCCTGTTGGCACTATCGACACAAACAGAGGGTCTGCTCTTCCGTAATCTGACGAAGCCAGTGCGCGCGTGGTCGCCGTGCGCGCCTCTGGCTGATTTGGAGAAAGCACTTAGATCAGAACTCGAGAAATACTGGTGGCCGATCGTCAAGTTTCATTGGAACGCCGAGGTGGATTTGGACGCGCAGATCTTTAACCGTCTCTACAACAACGACGAGGAGGACTACTACGTCGATGACAGCGGCGAAATGCAAATGTTTGTTGCGTCTGGAAGAAATAGTAAGGGCAATAGTCCGAATGGAAACCGGAAACAGGGTGGCAGCAAAAGCCCTCCTGGCGCAAATGACACGGGTTCGCCGAATAGTTCGCCGAAGCGCAAGAGTCACGCTAGTCCGCGCGTTTCCCCAACTATGGGA